GTTATTTGTATTGTATTTTGTAATTTTTATATTATTTACTTTGTATAAAAACATGTATATATTTGATGAAAATAGTTGAAAAAAATACTTTTATTTTTGTTTTTTTATTTATTTAAATTATTATATATTTTTTTAATAATTTATTATTTTTTAAAAATTAAATTGGATCGGATCAGATTTGGATATCTAACATCCTTATCGGATTCAAATTTGAATCAATATTTGTGAGACCCAATCAAATCTATAATTTATCAGATCAAATTCAGATATACCTTGACCCTTTTGCATCCCAAATTGTCACAAACCCCATAGGTAGAGAGGTCCATGTAATTTACCCTTTTTGAGAATTAATTTGTTTTCAAATCAAATGATTTTGTTTTATTTTAGAAATTATAATTTGTCTTATAATTTTGAGAAAATGTATGATAACGAAAAAATATGATGCTAGAAACACTTTGACCAAATAATGTCCCATGAATCACATGATTGATTACCATTATGATGTCGGTTGATCAGTTACAAATTTTTTGATATCATGTCTTCTAGCTAGGGGAATCAATGGATCAGTTTTGGGTTAGATGCACCCAAATCAAAATCATCTGAACGGAGTAGACGGATCAATAAGACATATTAAAACGATCCAATCAAGACTTGATGGTCAAAAGTATTTATTGGATTGGATTGGATCTGATCCATCCCTAATAAATTTATATTGCATTGGTTTGGATTGAGCCTATATCTAACCAGATGGTCTAGGTCCATTTGTATCGGACTTGATCGAATTGGACTAAATTCAATCCAATTGACACCCCTATAATTCCAGTATCATATAATTTGATGGCCTGTATTATTCACATACTCTCACAACATGACACGTTAGTCCATGGGGCCATGTCTATTGACTTAAGAAACCAGAACTGTCGTACGGAATTATTTAAATGACTAGATCCAGGGGACAATGGAAGGCAACATAATACAACGCGAAGTATTGGATAACTTTGCCGGGAAAGGAAGAAAGACGTTATTTTTGGAGAAAGTTCAGTTCTGCTGGGTGGGAAAAGCTGTTACGATTTGAATGGAGTGGCTTTCATATCGTCTCTCTCTCTCTCTCTTCGAGAACAGAAACAGAGAGCAAAAGGGCATGCAGATGAAGACTCCGTCAAGAAACGAAACAAATCCGCAATTCTCTCCCTTCCTCACTCCTCCTCTCCCTAGACCATCATTCTCTCTCTTCACTGTCTCTGTCACCATCGTGTCTTCCTCACCTCGCTGTCTTGCCCGTTTTCGGGGGATTATTCAGTCATTTAAACCCTCCCTTCACCTAAACCTTACATTCTTTTTTTTTATTCTTTTCCCCCTCTTTCAGAGGTACTCTCTCTCTCTCTAACTCGACATTCGTGTTTCAACTTTCAATTGCGAACCTAAAAAGTGTACAACTTGTTTGACTTTTGAACCCTATTTCTTTTATCATTATCAGTATTTTTGCTGCTATTCCTGTTGTGGCTTTTTTTTTTTTTTTTCTGGAAACTTGGAAGGACTAAATCCGTATTTCCCTTTTTCTAGCTTTTTTTTTTATTGTAATACTAAATTTGATTTTCTTATAATTGTATATTCTTCGGTTTTAGTTTCAATTCAGGGGAAATGTATGAAGGGCCCTCCCTCTCTGGACTTTTTGGTGGGGATTGTACAGTTGGAATTTGTTATTCTCGAAGAAACTTGGTGTTCTAATTTGATCTAGAGCTGCTGGAAGTGTGATTTCTGTTTCGTGTTTTAAAGGGACCAAGTTGGTGATGTTTAACTTGAAATTTCAGGGCTTCTCGCTTACATTTTAGCTATTGAATTGTCGTAGATTCTTTCCATTTCAAATTTTGTTTAGGCGTCTGAATAAAATGTTGGATTCAAAGTTATCCGTAGAAGAAATTTGAGACTCTAATAATTTAATAAATTGATAACTATTGGTCTTAACGTTTGGGAGTGGGAGGGAAACGGATTTGTAGGTATCCTTCTTTTTTGGTTATATCATTTTTAAATATATATATTAATTTTTTTGCTGCTGATTTTTAGCATGTTTGAGATGCAGGCATTTGGTTAGGGATTTTGTTCTGGTACCTTGATGTGAGTGCTTGATTCCCCTGCCCTTTGTTGTCTGACGGAACGATTCACGAGCAACAAAATGAATGACGTAACGTCCGCCAGACCCGGTAAATATTCAAATAAGCTCATTGTTTTTACTTTTTTTTACATTTCTGTTTTGATTTTCAAGCTTTTTTCTCGTACTATTGTACTTTGCTTCCACGTGACAATGACAATTCTAGATGATAATGATATCTAAATTTTTATAAGTATGTATTTTTTATTTTCTGTTTTTTTTTTTTAATTATTAATTGGATGTAAATGGTCAAATACAAATTTGATTATATAAACATCTCATCCAAATATGTGATAATTTGATCAAGTTTTCAAGTATCAAGTATCATTGATAGGCCTATATGCTTGGTTAGATTTTTTTGTAATGTTTTATCTTTTTGGTGTATATTTTCTTTATTCATTTATTAAAGAAATGCAAGATTTAAATAGATGGAATTGAATGAAGTGAAAGGTAGTAATTCAATTTATAATTTAAACCTCACAATTAAATAGGGACTAAATTAAAAAATGAGTATTTTATTCAAAAGCTCCACAATCTTATTAATATTTTTAATAGTAGTGTAAATATAGAATTATAGATGTGTTCAATTTTTTCTATAATTTTTTTTTTATTTCTATGTGTAAAAATAATTCTGATATGCCACACTTACTTTTTTTAATATGATAATTATATAATATTATATATGTGCCTAAATGTATTTTTTGCAAAATTTATGTATTATTTATTTATATTATCTTAATTTTTATTATTTATCCCCAAAAGTTGAACTATTGATCTTTGTCAAATAGTAAAATAATTTTATTTTAGGTGAGTTCTAAATTATGTATTTCATTTTCATTATCAATGTAAATAATTCTTGTTTATTACACTTATTTTCTTAATTTGATTAACAAAAATATCATAAACATGCCTAATTTTTTCTACATTTTTGTAATTTTTTATATTTATCTTTATTTAAAAAAATTATTACCTAACTATGACTTTGTAGGTTGATCAATTTGATTCGGATGGTTGAATTTCTTAGCCACCACTTTGATAAAGAATGGTTTTGTTTTTGAGTTAGTTTTAAAATACATGTGTTTATATTGTTAAAAATATTGACATAGATCTAATTAGTAGCACCTATTAGTGAAAAATAACTTAAATATAGGATTTAATAAGGGAAAGATAGGAGTTAATACTTTAAGTATAAGGCTTAATGGGAGGGGATTAAATGAGGTGGAAAGTAATAATTGAAGTTACATTTTCAACCCTTATAGTTAGAGATGTACTAAATAGACAAATATGATGATTTTAGTAGCCACTAAACTAACATTAAATCTGTAATAAAATTACTTTTATACTCTTTTTCAAGAAATATAAGGGTAATTTTAGTCTAAAAAATTTCCACTTTGCATCCACACTTTTATATATAGTATAGATATAGGTGGAAAAAAACTACTAATTATTTTCAACCAATCATGAAGGGCTTTAGAATTCACAATTAGCAAGTAGTAAGGCTTATAATTATCATAGATTTGGCAGTGTCATATTGATATCTTCCGACTTATGCTCGGACTAAGCCCGAGGTCAAGCTCGACCTTTCCAGCTCAAGCCTAGACCATACTATAATTTGATGCATTTGGGTTAAGTTTGGGCCTATGCCGGGCTTGGGATGGTCAATGAATCCACTCTAAAATTATACGTATATATATGTATTTATGCAAATAAGTATACATATATTATGTATATATGTAAATATGTATTCACAATATGAATATATATAGGTAAATATGTATACAAATATACACACACACATACACAAATATGTATGTAAAATTTACATATGTATACATATGTATGTATGAATGTGTATAGTTGGGCGGGGCTCAGGCTGGATTCGAGCTACCTAAGGCTAGGCTTGGGCCCGGCCCGAAAAATAAAAAAGTTCAACTTCTTGGGCTTGAGCCCGGCTCGAGAACAAAAAATCCAAGCCCAGCTCATGTAAAATTTCATGATAGGCCTGTCCAAGTTGCACCCCTATATGGAACTTATAACAATGACATAAAAATTAGGAATAATTGAAAGATATTGAAGAAAAGGAAAGTGCCTCTACTATGTACTTTAACTGGGTTGGGACCAACCAAGGGGTGGCTCATTGGTATGTTACTGGTTTGCTGCAGCATTGACGCAGAATCGATTCCGGGGAAAGGGGAGGTTATTAGTAGTGCGTGGCACCAAATACAAAAAAAGGGCTGGGCTACCTATCACCAATGAACACGCCATGCTCACTGTGAGCGCCATCTGTACTGAACAGTGGCATGTCCAGCCGTGATAGGTAGCCCAGCCTAGTGTCTACAATTTTGTCTCCAGCTCATCCGAACTCCTTTTAACTGTCTTCTATATTTGTTGCTGTAGAAATATTTCTGGATAAAACTAGAATGAGCTTTGGGTGTTAATAAATATTTGCTACAATCCAATGTCAACCTTGTTCATATTCCATCAATCTTAATAAAAATTTTAAATAGTTAAGGATTGCCATGTAATCATGCTATTATATGAAAATATATCACCAAAAAAAAAATGAAAACGTAATAGCCATTCTAGTTTGTTGAAACTATTCTGAATACTATGATGATTTAATTTTTCTGTTCAGTAGGACCTCTTTGGTTATGTTTGTCCAACTGAAACAAAAAGATATATTTGTTTACTATGGAGATTGTAGTATTTTGCTTCATTGGATAATGTCATGGCACAGCAGTATAATGTAATTGAAATCCCTTTATTTTTCATAGTTTTAACACCTCATGTTTAAGAGTCCTTCATTTTTGTACATTTGTCTAAAGGTCTTGAAGGATCTGATGCTGGATCTCTGAAGAAGAAATCTCTTAATGCCTCCAGCATGTTCAGGAATTCCCTGACAAGGAGAAGCAGTAGAGTTATGTCTATTTCTATTGATGATAGTATGGATGCAGAAGAGTTACAGGCAGTGGAAGCATTTCGACAAGCACTCATCTTGGATGAATTACTACCCTCAAAACACGATGATTATCATATGATGCTGAGGTCTCTCTCTCTCCCTCTCTCTCTCTTTCTCTCTCTCTCTCTCTCTCTCTCTCTCAATCATTCATTCATTCTACCACTATTTTTTATATGGATTTATGGTTATAAATATCACTCTTTGATGTTAACCAGAGAAAAAAATGAAACTTTTGCAATTCGAACTGTTTTGATTTTATGGGTTTGCCAACTGCAAAAACCTGAAAAATAAAACAAAAAACTTGTATTATATACATGCATATGTGGAAATAGAGAAATTGTCTGACATCTCACTGGATCTAACTAACTTTTTTAAACAATAACAACGATAATTTTATTCATTAGAACCATTAAGATGTACAGAGATATACAATTTACATGAAAACCTTTAGAGATAAAGGTAGGGGCCATTACTTGGTGTAATCTTAAAACCTTGGGCTGTCAAGCGTGAGAATGCAGTTATGAAACTGAGAGCAGCCACTTTGTGCAAAAAAATGCCAAAGGTTAAAACCTTATGCAGTCCACCCCTCCCAAGAGGCCAAGATCCCAAATAGCTGGGACCAACATTGGGTAATGGCCTTTAGAGATAAAGCTTCTTATCTCTATCCTAATTTCATTTTATTTTACAACTGTTCCCAAAACATTTTATCTCTCCCCACCCCTTGTTTTGTTAGAAAATCAGCCATGTATTGGCTTTCCCTTGTACCCATTGAATCATTGCCACCATCATTCTAGTTGGCCACTTGAACTTTTTGATTTCAATTTTGTAGGGCCATAACACTTCTTATTATGTATCTACCATACCACCGATTTTGAGTAACCTTCGATTATCAACCTCTTTATGTTCATATTCCTTGCTCTTTGAACTCCCCCCATTACTACCATTACTTGAACCCTACTTCCTTCGCCAATTGGTCCCCAAAACAATCCGATTATATGCCCTTCCTCATTACTAAATGCACCACCCAGTCCCGATGGTCCTGAATTATATGCTACTACTATAAAATTACGTTTTACATACCCTCTTAGTGGTGGTATACAAATTCCACTACTAAATTCTTTTCGAAGAAGTCAGAGCCACCTCCCTTCCACATTTTTATGATATCATCCACTGCATAGTGTAAAATACTCTCCAAGGATTTTACCCAATGAACCACCTTTATAGTAATACATTCAATTATTGTCTCCATGCTTCTTTATTTCCCTTCAAACATTAATTTCTTTCTTTTTTCCCACAAGGTCCAAATGATTTTAGCCCTAGTATATCTCCACATTATCCTTCCCTTTTTCTTTGTCCACACAAACATTGTAGGAGAAAAAAGACTTCTGTGTATTATTTAGAGGATTCCACCTGCATCCAAAAAGAGGGAAAAACCAAACCCAAATGGAGAGGAAATTAGCAAGTGATAACATAACTCACCATTTGCTTTTCAAAGGACACACCAATGAAGGGATAAGTAATAGGATGATCTCCTCTTTTGAAGTAAATCACGTGTTCATGTTCATTTTCTCATGAAAACCTCCTATGTGAAAGCTCTAATTTTTTGTGGTATAGGTCTATCCCAAATTTCTTTAATCAGGAAAGGCTGCACCAGAGGGGGGTTGGGTTAAAACCATGAAGAAGGATGCACAAGAGAAGAGCCCTCAAGGAGGAGTCCAAATCTGACCATCAAACTTTAAAGGGTCCAATAAAACACCATCAAGGATTTGTAATAGTCTAAGTACACAAAGAAGTTCAGAATCCCTCAAACCCCTCCTAAAACCCAAATCCCATCAAAACTGAAGTTTGAGTACGAGGGAATAACAAACTTTCAGACAGGTTCCCCTTTGAATGAAGATGGAACAAACAAAGTAGGAAATTGATCTTTCAAAGTAGATTGACCCAGCCATATATGCTCCTAGAATTTGATTCTATCCCCAATGCATACGTCATATCTAACACAAGGAAGTGAGGAAGGAAAAATGGAAGAATGGAGTGGGCAGCATTCCAGGGATAAGCTCTTGTAGCTCTTGCAGATAATCCAGTTAGGAAGTCAAAGATACAAACCGGCATCATTGGACCAAAAATTTGTAACATACAGTCAGGAAGTCACAGATACTATAAAAATATTTATGATAGAAGTGTAGGTGACAAAGATGAGCTTTAAATTTTTATCAGAAAGAAGACAACAGTAACTAGATAGCCTTATTAAACGTGGCAATAGAAACACACTATTGTAAAGGGATAGAATTAGGGGAAGTACAAGCACAACCTAAGGCTGAGAATTATAGTATAAAAAAACTATAATAGAAAATAGATTAGAAATTATAGTCAACAAGGTTGTTGACAGATCCAGGATCCACCTGAATGAGCAGTCCATGTTGGGTGTCAGTGCCTTAGTTTCCCTTATCAAATACAAAGGGAAAGATGAGCTATAGATATACAGGTTATATAAAGATGTCTTTTGCATTGTGATAATTGTAGCATAAACCTATGATATTATGTTGGTTCTAGAAGCCTCACTGCTTTACTCCTTTTAATTAAGTGGATGCCATCATTTGTATTCCATTTTTTGTGCTTAGTTAACTTGTATTTTTATAATATAGATTTTTGAAGGCAAGAAAATTTGATGTTGAGAAAACAAAGCAAATGTGGGCTGACATGGTTCAGTGGAGAAAGGAATTTGGTGCTGACACAATAATGGAGGTATTTCATGGGAAGAAATTGCAGTCAGTTGATAACGTTCTACCAATCAATTTATCGAGCAATTTCTTATGTGGTCTGATGTTCCTTTTGTTTCCATTTTGATATATTATATGTTTCAGGAGTTTGAGTTTGAAGAACTCAATGAAGTCCTGGAACAGTATCCCCAAGGGCATCATGGAGTTGATAAGGAAGGACATCCTGTTTACATTGAGAAACTTGGTCAAGTTGATCCTGTCAAGCTGATGCAAGTTACAAACATGGATCGATATGTGAAATATCATGTCCGGGAATTTGAGAGAAATTTTGCCGTTAAGTTCCCAGCATGTTCAATTGCAGTAAAAAAGCACATAGATCAGAGCACAACAATCCTTGATGTGCAAGGAGTGGTATGTGAGGATCGAAACATTTTATGTTGGGGAAATTAATTAAATTCTGTAGTCTTATATTTGAACTTATCTCTGCTAAATTACCATTGATTTCTGAATCGACTGGTATCCACCTTCAATGACATTCAATTATTAGTTGGTGAAGAGTTTTCTGGTCAAATTGAAAATATCACGCATTGTTCTTAATTTTCTTTCTACATGACATTCTGGTGATTTCATTCTATTAAGGATGATATGCTTACTATTCTTGTGCCTAATAATTTGAACTGTTAGGGCCTTAAAAATTTCAACAAAGCTGCAAGGGACCTTATTGTGCGTCTTCAGAAGATTGATGGTGATAATTATCCTGAGGTGCTTAGCTCTCTTGTTAAAGTAACATGCAATCACTTCTTGGTTTGGCTACATAGTGCAGATGACATCACAGCTGATATCATAAGGATTCTTTTTTATTTTCTTTCTTTTCATTATAGACCTTATGCCGCATGTTCATCATCAATGCGGGTTCTGGATTTAGACTGTTGTGGAATACTATTAAGACTTTCCTTGATCCTAAGACTACGGCAAAAATCCATGTAATCAAATATCTTTTCCCTGTCTTATATGCTGGTTTCTGAATTCTAACAATGTATTTACTTAACTGGTAAGGGGTTGTCTCCATCAGGTTCTTGGGAATAAATTCCAGAGCAAGTTGCTTGAAGTAATTGATGCCAGGTAAGCTTTTTTGAAAAAAAAATGTAATGAGATGCTTTCTTTTTCCTGTTTTCTCATATTCCACTGGGTAGCAAGCGATCTGTTATTTTTATAAACAAAACAACACAATTTATCTACTTTAACTTGAATCTTGAGCTTGTTAGTACATTCTGTGGCTTTTTACCAGCGAGTTGCCAGAATTTTTGGGTGGTACTTGTACCTGTGCTGATCATGAAGGTGGTTGTATGCGTTCTGATAAGGGTCCATGGAAGGACCCAGAAATACTCAAGGTCATCCATTTATTTTTTCTTTATGCTTTCTTCCTTTCTATTTCTGGTTTATTTCTTATCTTTTGAAATGCAACCACATAGTCAATAAACATTCCTGGGTTGATATCTTGACAAGCAGATGATCCAGGATGGTGTTGCTGTGTGTAAAAAAAAGATAACCACTACTACAGAAACTGAGGAGAAGATGATTTCAGAGGATGAGATAGTCTACCAAAAGGTGTACCCTGACTTTGAAAAGATAAAAGTCTACTTTCTTTATCTTCCCTCCCTCCCCCTCCCCATTTTGGTTTTCTTGTTTAATGTTTCTATACTAATGATCAAGCTTTTTTTTTTTTTAGTAATGGAACCTTGGTTATAGAATGTTTTACTGATGAATCCGCCCCTTGTATTTAATCCATGTCAAGAGATGTGATTCATCCAAGGAGGAGACAGGTCTCAATGTTGAGGACACTAGGGGGTCCATAGAGCACCCACAACAATCTCCCGTCCATGAAGTAAGTAAAACTTCCTTGCACATTTTTTTTTATGGATGGTACTTAAAAATTCTGAGGTTCTGAGTCAGCACTATATAACTAATATCTGTTTTGTGTCATTTTCTTCTGAAGGATAATAGTTTTGAGGCTAGTAAAACAAGTGAGGAATCTAAACATTAATGCCATTCATGTATTAGAAGAGTTTACAAGGTGGTCACTAAGTCAAGGCCATGCTGACTGGCAGCACCTATAGAACTCAATTTAGAGACCATTCCTCTTAGCATGGCAATCTAGGTACTTTTTGCAAAGCCAAAAGAGATGTTTGCTGCTTCATACGTTCAAAATGTGTCTAAATTCCACCCATTAAGCTTGGATTTTGTCATGTCTTTCTTTTTATTTGTATTATTTCTTCTTTCCTTTTTTTAATATAGAACTGAATAGTTCTACTACTTTCTCTTTCACTTTATCCTGTTAGGAAACCATGCAGATTGTAGCTAAACAAAATTGTCCAAACAGCAATGAGTATGATAACCCCATTCCAGTTGTGGATAAGACTGTGGATGCTACGTGGCATAAAGTGGTACAAGGTGACAACCTCCCTCTCTCTAAAGGTACATGACTTCTGATCTGTTAATTGTTTCTTTTGTGTTTTATAAATTATCAACAAGTCTAAAGGATTCATCGTCAAGTGGCTAGAATCATGATTGGATGACTAAACCAGTCAATATGGCTTCCATAAATCAGTTTCCCTTTGAAAACTATGACACCAAGACACCTATACAAGGACGTTGTATTGAGTCGGATGCTTTTTAGTAATTTAATATCTGATATTCAGTCGTGTTTGCCATATCAGGTAACATAGTTTGGAAATTCTTGGGGAATAGATTATCAATTATCCTTGTGGGTTAATTTATGAAGTAGAGAAATCCTCTATTAGATCCACCAAATGGAGAAATCTAAAGTCTGAACTACTGTTTGTAGAAGTACGCAGTTTAGATATATTCCATCTAATTATATACTAAAACTTTCTGACCAAACGTCGTTGCATGGACAGACATGGGAATCGGGATCCAACATGTCTCCAGGAGTCCGCATGATGAAAAAAAAAACATTCAATTAGGGAAATAGATCCCAATCAGTATTTACTACCAAAACTTTATATCATAAATTCTATTAACCTATAGAGAATTGCAGAGGTATTTCAAAAACTTTATTTATCACCTAGAAGAATTTAAGAAATGTTGGAACTAATTATGTATAGTAGATACTCATCTATGTCAAAGTAACAAAGAGATAGATGAAAATCTTACATGGAAATTTCCCCCAAACATTCACGAAATATCAGATTCAAACATATGCCTGATGCTGACACTTTGTCCACTTAGGGTAATCCATGTAATACAGTAACACTTACCAAACATTCTATACCATTCTCTCCACCATGATGGATTCTAAAATGAGATTTTAGATTTAGGATGTAAACATAGCCCAAAGTAGGGACTATTGTTTGGTGCCATGGTAAAATCTAGGGTTAACTAGCATTAGAACATTTATTTGAGTCTGAGAGTGGCCACTTTGTGCAAAAATGCCAAAGGTTAGGTCTGTCCAGCCATTCCTCCCAAGACCCTGGATAGCATACATTGGGTAATGGCCCTTATATAAACATAGCATTAAAGAGACCAAACAAAGAAAAATAATATAGAATCAACAATGACATGTTTGGTGGAAATGGGTAGATAGGAGGAAAAGCAACAGATAGTGTTTTAATATGGAATACGACATACCAAAAACAAAATGAAACATGCAGATTACTGAACGAGTTATTATATCATATAGTGCTTTCCTATTTCAGATTTTTTCCAGATACATCCACACACAGCAAGCACAATGCCGAGATGTTATTGGCAATTCTGCACTTATGCTCCTGGTTCTGGGCCTCTAGCCCTTACTTTAAGCAATCCGAGAAAGAATGCCAATTTTTCCTTGTGAAGACATTTTGAATACAAAGCATCTAATAGTAAACCTATTTACTCTTGAAGTTTCAGGTTGTTTCCCTGTGAATGACGCTTGCAAGGCTCCTGAATACGATAACAAGCATATCTTTACTGGGATAATGACCTTTGTTATGGGCCTTGTAACTATGGTCCGTTTGACACGCAGCATGCCAAAGAAGATCACTGATGCTACCCTTTACTCCAGTCCCCTTTACTGTAATGACACAATTATTAAAGGCCAGCCTCACCAGCAGTTGTCTGGGCCTGCCATCTCCAGTACTGAATACTTGTCCATCATGAAGCGTATGGCTGAACTAGAAGAGAAGGTGAATGTTCTAAGTACGAAACCTGAAACAATGCCTCCAGAGAAGGAAGAAAAGCTTAACGCTGCTCTAAGCCGTATTGAAGCCCTCGAACAAGAACTTATGTCAACCAAGAAGGTAAAGTCAATGGAATTTACCATTATACCTCATGATTTAATATAAACAAATACATGCCAATTAGCTAGGGATCGAGAAGAACCTCTCCAGAAAGTTTATGATGTTCTAATCTGAAATGCATGGGAGTTAAAATGAAAAAAGTGCAAATTCTGGTTTAATTTTGTTTTGGGTTTTACCTTATTCTGCTTCAGGTTTTATTTTACTTCTTTGTAGTGCAATTAAATAAAATAAGGTAAAATTTGAAATAAAAATAAGTCAAAAATTTGCACCCAAATCATTTATACTGCCATAATTTTGCAGCAGTGTAAATAATTTTGCACCGCAACCAAACATAGACTAAGTGGGAATGGTTGCTGAACAAAAAATATGAATTCCTGAAAAATTGAGTCACTGGTCTACTTGTCTTCTGGAGATGTAGAAACGTGTCAACTTCATGTTTTTATATTTATTCTTTTACAGGCATTCAGCTACTGTCTGAATGTTTAACACAATTGGGTAAATTGAATTCTTTGTTTGTACCATGTACAACTCAGTTGCCCTAAGGTTGAATTATACACCTTTTGAACAAGATGGCAACAAATATAGCACAATCATTTCAATTGCTAGAAAATAGAAACCAAGACTAAGAAGATTAGATGTCTTGTTTGTGCATTAACTGTTTTTATTTCTCCAGGCTCTTGAGGACTCCCTTGCCAAACAGGAGGAATGCCTAGCTTACATTGAGAAGAAGAAGAAGAAGAAGAAGGTATGTTTCTTGGGCTATAGTATTACTTGCATTTTTATATTTATCATATGAATGAACATATTTTCACCTATCCAGAATCCATTATACTGGTGAAGAAAAAGGTGCTGGATATCTTGTGATGCAGAGAACAAAGACGTGAAAAATTGTTGACGTGTTGGTGATTTTGAATACTCTAAAGCCACCCCAAATGCACTCTGATTTTATGTTCATAATCCAAAAAATTCAAATTCAAATGTTTTGTTTAAATACGCAATTTGTCATTCTTTCACACTTCTATTTATCTTAAATAAAAGTTGCATTTCAGTAATTAACTTACATTCTCTTTTGTAAATTTATAATCCATATCCTTCCCATCCTTCAAATATAAAGAAGGGATAGCCAGAGTCCAGAGAGTAACAACAGAGATCATGTAGTTAATGAATGAAAAAGCAAAAAAGGCGGACGGAGGGGAAAAGAAACAAACATTGGATTGGTTTAGCACCACTTTTGGTTGCCAAAGGAGCTGCTTCTAAATGGACCTTTTCCGGGAATTATGGTTCATTAGGCTGCGTTTGAAAACAATGAAAATAATTGTGAATGCAAATATGTAGTGTAAAACGGTTCATATAAATGGAAAAATTGGGTTAGTTTTGCACTAACAAATTTACTTTCTTACAAAACAGACTTTTAGCTGTAATGGATGCAAGCATGGGTTCCAATAAAGCATATGCTTTATTTTATTTTTTGTCAAAAGCCCACTTGAATGCAAATTTATTTATTTTATTGATGTATTTTTACATCTTATTATCAATGTAAATATTCATTGGTCTGTCATTTGTCAATGCATAAATGTAATGTTGCAAAACATAGGCAAAAGTGAATCAGAGTGCAAATTTACCCTGAACCAGGATTTACACTCCATTTGCATAATTTCCAAACGCCAGCCTTAGGCTCAATTTGGAAGGAGTACAAATGCAAATATGTAGAGTGTAAATTCTTATGTTTTGTATTATTTTATAAGACTCAATTTGGAAATAGTACAAATGCAAATATATACAATGCAAATACATACAAATATGTAAATATGTATAGTACAAATACATGCAAAATAATACAAAATATAAGGTTTTGACTCTACAAATTTGTATTCATACTCCTTCCAAACTGAGCCTTAGGTCTTGAATTGAACCTTAAATGAATCCATTTGACTAGGAGAGAATCCTCTTCCTCCTCTCAACCTTTTACCCAGTTATTCCATCTATATGAGGGGTGTCTGCTTATAGTTGCGTTTAATCAAGGTTTTAAGAATTGATATGAAATCGGAACTGTTCTGGCCACGGGTTGACCATTTGATTTGAACAGACAACCTATTTCAAAAAAAATAATAATAAATTAAAAAAATAACCAGAAACTATTGAACAGATTGAAGATTTGACTGCCCAGATCAACGTCAACAACGGTTCACACTAGTCAAATACTGCAAGGATAAAAACTGGATCTTTAAAGATTCTATGAAAATGGGGGCCAAGTATGGTCGAAACGCCTTTGGGCCTTAAAGCCCTGGTTAGTTCAATTCTAATTAATAATAAAAAAAAAGAAATCCAAACTAGTTGGAGCGCCATATATTACAAAGAACGGTTTAAAATGATTTGAAATGACAACGAAGTCAATAGTAGACTAGTAGTGCATGCATGTTAACTATGAATCTCCACTTATAGCACTAAGCCAATGCTACGTTAGCACTTAGCAGTTTACCATTCTTCTGATATTCTTTTTTCCTATTAATTATTGTAGAACATGTGGTGTGAGAGCGCCCTGCGCCCTGGGGTTGGGGGAGGGGTGTTAATCTGAAGTTCTGAACTTTAATCCCCCAAGTGAAGACACATTTTTTCTTACTTAATTTAACTTTTAAATAATCAGGGAGCTACTACAAATTGGGTGTCAAACCGCAAAAGGCATATAATATATTCACATTTTCTTCCAATTTACAGTATTTACTTTTTCTAAAGCTAAGCAACTACTATAATTTATTTGGTGGATCACAAAAAAAGTAGGTTCAGTTTGTTTTGCAGTGCAAATTTTATTTGAATCAGTAAATACATGGGAGTGCAAATAGGCTGAGTGTAGATTCTTAGTTACTCCAGATTTAATTGCCTTCATAGTTCGGAGTATATAAATATATACGTATGTAGTTCTCTTGACAATGGGAGACAAAATAAAAGATGCAATGGCCCTCAGCTAGAATATATGTAGTTCTCTTGACACAATAATGCCTATTCATCCTACTTGAGTATTGAAGCTTGTATAACAAGCATCTCTCTTGGACTCCTCTACAATTTGTTGTACCACTTTCAATCTTTTAAGCTTTGGAGATGCAAAGTTTCACAACTGGAACTGGTCATATTTTCTACTACAAACCTGTCATTTACTCCTATAGTATTCAAGGTTCAAAATATTGACACGCCGGTAGAGGTGTATTGGGCAAATCGATATATATATATATATATATATATATATATATATATATATATATATATATATATATNTATATATATATATATATATATATATATATATATATATATTTTTCACAATCAGTTCAGGGGAACTAGTTTAGGACTCACTCAGACCCCCCATACACTCACTATAGGGACATATCGGAAGGGTCCCAGAACAATACGTATTGGCCGATATAGACCGATACATGTCGATATTTTAAACCTTGATAACATTCATAATTGCTGAAGAAGAAAGCGCCGAGAAAATGCATAGTAAGCAATTTTCTTGTCGAGCTTACATTCTTATATATTCTTCTTGATTGACCTGACACTTCTTTCTATGCTCTCTCTCCTAGTCTCTTGGAATAAGAAACATTATCTCATACATCTGGACTATTAAAGAATATGGAAAAACAAATAAAGGGATTACTTGTATATTTAGGAAAATATTCAAGTACTATTTAAATATGCCTTGTTTACCTTTCAAAAGTAAAATACAAAAATATTCTTGACTATTTGTGCTCACACCGTTCCCATAATTCGTTGCAGCCTTGCATTGGGTATATATTCCCATAAAAAAATATATAAGTACGGATATATTCGCAATGTACAAGTGTAAAAGGCTGTGCAAACGGTGTGAACAGTCTTGTAAGCTTGATCTTTGAAAAAAAACTATTAAATAGGGTTTCATAATCCGTTCATACAAAAAGGAGCAAGGTTTTTAAAACCAATATAGACAACAAACCAATCAGGGGTCCGATTCCTGGGTCAAACATTCTAACCGTTCGAACCAAACGGATGGCCCATTCTAACAAAAAAATAAAAATAAATTAAAAGAAACCCAGCCAAACTGTTGAATGGTTCCAACGGTTCGACTGCCTGGGTCAGCGGTTTAATGACCAAATTAACAGTTCTGGGGTAAAGCGAAACCGATCACCTGACTGATTCCCAGTTTTTCTGATCCGACCGTCCGGTCCGGTCCGATTTTCAAACCATGAAAAGGAGAACGGCATGATCCTTGACTGCAAAAGGACGAGAATGGCATTAGTTGTTCATCTACTGAAATGCAATTAATAATTCCTGGGATTGCAATTTACTTGATAACCAATTTAACTTTTAAAACAGGTGGGCCCAAATGAGTATGGGAATGTAGTGCTAATCCCACAGATTCTCGACTGCTTGCTCAAATTGCGAGAACTTCATCACCCTCTATATAGCGGAAGAAGCAGGGAGTCCGTACTTGCGATTAGGTCACAACAGCCTGGGTGCATTAGTTCCGGGAACTTTTTGGAGTATTGATTTTGGTTTACCCTTTCACTATAAGCCCTCTTATTTTTTGGTGAAAGGCGTTTTTTGGCTATTATGCCGTTTCCTATTGACAAGGCTCCTACTTAAAGAATTGCCAGCACTAATGAGGGTGTGAAGATCTCTGCGCTGTCCAATTATCTGGTCAATGTCTTGCGTTCAACAGGGAAGGAGGTAGTGAGAAAAACAACAGAGATAAGATAATGGTGGATTTTTTTTTTTTTATTTGGTTATATTTCTGAAAGGATCTCTTTCTGTTTTGGATCGTAGTTCTTCGTACCAATAGGTTTTTAGGTTTGGATTTTGTTTTAGTTCTAATATTTTTTTTTTATGATCAATTTATTCAGCTGTCCAACGTTAATATGGTTTATAAGCTTGTACAAGCAAAACTGATTCAGAAATGTGTGTGTGAGAGAGAGAGAGACGCTTCTCTGGTTCTTCTGCCGAGAGATTGAAGATGGGAGGAGAGAAAATGAAGGGTAAAAATATAATGGCCAAGCCAAACGTTCTTACACATTTTCTTCAACAGATGGTCTATTTGTGTTGTGCGACCATTAATGTAAGGTATATAAAAGTAATTTTTGAAACTTATAAGGTACATTTAAATAGTTTCCCAAACATTCAGCGTATATAAGTAATTATCCCTAAAGTAAATAAACCGAATCTCACAACTTCAAGCAATGAAAGGCTCTTTCACAACATACTTCATTTTCTTACATTACTCTTTCGAAGTATATGAACTCAAATAACACTTTGAACGCAAAGAAAAGAAAACAAAAAGGTGTGATAACATATAATTAATGTAAATTTATTTTCATCAGATTCTGCATTCCTCAGGACAGTAAAAGGTGACAAGTGGACATCAATATGGCCTATTCATGCTCTTCTCAAATGTATATATGGAAATGTCAAGGAATACATTGTCTGCTGCTCGTATGCAAATCTGCATCAGAACCTTTCCGGTGCAACCTCCCATTCACCAGCAAAACTTCTTTTTCTGCTTAACATAAAATGAGAGATTCACAGTTCAGTTTCAATGATGAAGTATATAATCTTCTTTTACGCAATACTGCAGTAATTTTCTATTTAACTTACTCGGAATTTGGCTTCTTCTTGACGGTCTATGTAGGCAAGTAGTTCTTCTTGTCTCATTAGAGCTTCATGCAAAGCCTGCTCAGAAAGAACTTATGTAAGCAAATGCGGATAAGCATACAAGTGCCCAAGTTTTTCACTTATACAGTAGCACCACCATCTGTAACAATTTCAATGTGTTAGTTAGGAAAGAAAAAAAAATAATAAAACCCAAAAAGATGGTTGCCATTGGGCACACGGGTACCATACTGCAACTTGGGAGATAAGGAGAGCTGGTGACAGAACAGATGCTACCGCATAAGCTGCCTTTTTTGTTTAGAACCCTTTTCTACAGAGATCTACATAATTATCGTCACTTACTGTGTTTGGTTGCAATGCAAATAAATTTGCACTGATGCAAAACCATGACAGTGCAAATGATTTGAGTGTAAATTTTGACCTATTTTTGTTTCAAATTTTAGCTTATTTTGTTTGGTCCAAGTACAAATGAAGTAAATTAAGGCATGAAGCAGAATAAAGTAAAATCCAAAACAAAATTAAACAAGAATATGCATTTTTTACATTTGCACTTCCATGCATTTGTACTAGTGCAAATAAAATTGCACTGCAACCAAACACAGCCTTAAGAATTTACATCTCTCCAAATGAATTTTCTACTCTGTAAAATATACATAGAAAAGCGGCATTGAACTTTGGGATTGCATTAATAGCTGTAACATGCCCGCAGCATTTTCCATGTTCCAGTCTTACAAACCAATTAACTCGTTTATGATTATTGAAGAGCCAAACATGACCCACCATTCTGATGGTATCATCAAAAGGTAGACCGATGGCAGACGATGTAAACAATACTTTCAATAGCTTCAAATATATAAGAGGAAAACCAAGAATAAGGGCACCATGGTTGCTATGTCAGATATTTTTTAGTATGACTTGTTAAAACATACCATTTTACACATTTTAAAAGTGTTAACGCTAGGAATGCATCTAGAAGTATCCATGCAGCATCTTGTATATATACTAGGCAATTAATCTAGGTTTTATAGGTACCAACACAAATATGAGCAGAAATGGAAAATTGGATTGAGGCTGGAAGTGATCCTTGACTGATCGACAATCTAATAATTGTTTCTGCTAAAAAGGTTAATGGAGGACACTTGAGATACAGTAGGATAAACAGGGGATTAGTGAATTTCCGCCTCAGGGTTCTAGTGATAGTGCCATAAAGAGAATTCTGGAATTATAAGGTTTTAAGATGGAAAATTATATCACTTGGACATCATTATCCTTGATGATTTTTGCTGTTTAGGGTGCTAATCTTGTATTAGGCTTTGTTTTGGTTGTATCTTCCACATATTTATCTCTCATTGGAGGAACCTGAAGTAGTTCAGCGCCTTCAGAATAGAAGATACAACAAATAAATTTCTGGAGAAATTTAGGCATCTCAAAATTACCAAAACATGTGAGTAGGAGGAGAAACCAATGGCTGCACCAAGATTTGGAAGCTGACAGCAGTTTCTAAATTTATGGTTTCTATTTGTGTTTTCAAACCAACTGTTATTTTCTGTGTCCCTATTTTTTTAGGTCTGCACTTAGTAGAATAGGAAATTATTAGTTTAAATCAACTACTGTTTTGAAGAGCTTCTAAATTTGGAGTTCTGGGTTTCTCTTTCAGTCAAGAAGAGTTCTATAAATATATGTAATTAGGTTCAAAGAAGACAAGGAATGAATTAAATTTAAGCTTTTTTCTTCCTTAGAAATTATGTCTACTTCTCTGTTCTCTTGAAAATCAGTGTTAGAGAAACACATGACCTCTTCTTTTCTTGTTATTTTCTAGTAGTTCTCTGCTACTAGAAAAAACCAGTACCTATTCTCTGGATTTTCCACTAGATTAAGAACATATCTTGTTGGATTTGAAGCAAGGCTACCCATTGACCTCGCCTTCTATCTACCAACCCCTACACTAGAAGTTTAGAACCTCTCTCTCTTTTTAATACAAAGTTTATCATTCATCAAAGAAGAATCATATGCATGCACTCCCAAAAGATGAGAACTGCAGAAACAAGTTATTGACAGAAATTAAGTGCTCCAAATCATTAGAAAGCCCCACCAATGACACCCTAACATTGCAGAGGCACTGTAATTATAGCACTAAATTTAGATATGATACCTTCTTTGTGGAAATAAGCTCTGCTTCCAATGCATCAACACGGCAAACAGCAGCATTTAACAGCTCTTCTTTATCATAAGGCATTTCAATTGGCTTTGCTTGAAGCATGTCTACCTTCTCCTCCAACTCCCCAAGTCTCAACAGCACGGATGAGAGGAGGTCTGTCTCTGTAAATCCTGGAGTTGGTGAAGGAGGGCGAAACTCTTCCTTGGATACTGGATCAGGTGTGAAGTTGGAAACTTTGGGGTCACAACTTGATGGATCAGGAAGCTTCTTCAATACACGGGACTTCAGTGAATGGAAGAGAGCATATAGCATCATGACAAATGCCATAAATACTCTGAAAAACTGAGCTCGAATTCCTTCTGGAGCCTTTTGAGTTTCAGGTGAAGGGTATATGCCTGCATAATAAAATTTTGAAAGATATATCTGCTGAATTAGTACATTATGTAATAACCAAAAGACAAATATTTGTTACAGATTCTGATCTTCAGATTCTTCATCTTGTTCTTTCCTTGCACAAGAAAAGTAACAATCTAGCACATTCCAAGTTCTAGAGTTTCTAGTGAAAAAGTAGCATAATACATTATAAAGCTGCTATCACTTGTAAATTTGGTCGAAACATATAAGGTTCTTTTGATAATAAATAAAAAATGAATTCAATTTTTTGGTATTAAAATAAAAAAGAAGAAATACAAGGAACGTGACCAAAAGTCACCCAAGAGAAAAGAAGAACAAACCAACATCAACACCTCAAAAACCACCAACCAAACCACAATACCAGAAATACAACCAAGCATCCCACCTAGGACCCAGAGACCCCGACCTGAATAAAAACAGAATTCAACCACCAAAACAGAACTCTTCACAACCAGATCTCTAACACCTAATTACAAACAAAGCAAAATCCAGAAAACTCCCTCTGCAGACTCAAGAAAAGAACAAAACCTCTACTTCTTCTGACCCTTCTTGTGTTTCAGAACTTTTTTACTTGGTCCAATTCCAAAAAGCCCTCCTTTTTAACCTAACAAAAACACTTGACACCAAAACTGGACGACATTTTTTCTGATGTTTAAACCTTAACTGCCAAAAGGTCCTTCCAAAAATCCATCAAGCCCCTAGTCTCCTCGTTAATTCTTTCCAATTCCAGAACCATATTCTTCTTGAACAGTTGATCTTCTTCAACAAAAAACTACAATAGCCTGAACCTAAAGACACAGAGACTCCTCAAATTCCAGAAGGAGCAAAATCCATTCCAGCATCTTATTTCCAATTTTCGAGCATAGCTTTTCCTTGCCTTTTGAATTTCCTTCGAATATTCTTCTTTTTCTTTCTGTCCACACCTTCCAGCAAAAGAATAAGGGAGATCCGAACGGATCTGAAAGAGCCCAAAGAAGTGACACCGAATTCAGCATGTGAATGGTCAGTTTGGTATTATATACAAATCCTGATTTACACTTAATCTTCTAATGGACCCTGATCACAAAGACGACACAAATTTCAAACATGATCTCTGATATAAGAAAAAAATATTGAACAAGTACCAAAGTCCAGTCAAAATATCAAAAAAAAAAAATCAAATCAAATCCTCATGATTGAAAATGAGGAGAAAATCCATTCTTAATCATAATTTTATATCTTTTGATTCTTTTTTTTTTCATTCATTTATCCTATGTCTCTTCTCTCTATTTAATTTTCATTTTTCTATTTTTGTGATATCATCATCAAATCCTTATCCAACTATGTCTCTAATCTCTATTTCATAATTTCTATTTTATTTTGTGACAACCTTTCTTCTATTTATTTTGACTATCTCCTATTTCTTCTGCATTTTGCACCAAATTGGAGGGGTCACTATAATCTATAAATTTAAGAAATTGAAGCCTAAGAATGTCAAAAAACCAAATAAACCCTTTAAAGAATCCTTTTTACTTCTTTAGAATCTTGACTAAAAATAAAAAGCAGTCCATAAACATTAGCTTACAAAGAAATTGGAGCTAAAATAGCAGTACTAACCTTTGGAAGAAGACCTTTGAAAGGATACTTGTTTCTTCCATCCAGCATCCACAGCTTTGTCAACCATGGGCACATATTCATCGTACTCCGACAAGCAAGCATTGTAACTTGCCTTTCCAGCTACCTTAGCCTGTACAGATTAATCAAAGTATGTTAATAGAACACAAATAATTGCTCTATAATATGAACAACCGTGTCAGATGTCAACAATTATATGAAGTTAAACATATCAACACATCAACAGAATATCTTAGCCTACACATTCACTGCCTATGCAGTCCTATACCCTCCACCCCTAGTCCTTTACAAAAACGATTCTAATGTACAAAAAAGTGTTATAATTCCTATCCTCAAAACATATTAAAAGAATATCTCAGATACACGATATGGGTCTTATAATTTAAATATACCCAACATATTTAGATTATCTATCTTTGGTTGTTGAGGAAAACTGTCTAGTACCTACCATTATTTCCTGACTAAAACAGAATCAGTTCCTTTTTTTTCTTTTGAAAATAAGTGGAGGCAAGAATTAAGGAGTTGAGATTCATTTATTTCCAACTGAATCAGCAGAAACTTATCTTTTTTTTTTCCCTGGATTTGGAGAATATTAAAAGGAGACCCACGGCTATTCCTTTCCTTTTGTTGTAAGAGACAACTATTTTTAATTATCAATATAAGATCATTTTTTTATAAGTCTTGTCTTTCAACTTTTACTTTGCTGAGTTATCTGGCCTATTTTCATATTTCAGAATTCCAAGTTTACCAGCTTCTAAAGGTTGCTTGTACATTGATTAATTGCTATGCTGTACCTGTTAATTTGTTGCAGAAATTTCTATTGATTAATTATTTAATATACACACTTTCTTATCAGTCCAATTCCTCATCAAATACGGGAGTGCTGAAAATATTTGACAACCACATTGATCACGAAAAAAAGGACAACATAATGCAAGCACCTAGATGGCTAACCTAGGCTTGTGCCCAGGATCAAGTTGAGTCCTTGGCTATTTTTTGAAAATTATTTACATTTAAGTAGTGAACTAGTGATATAAAAGTAGCAAGACAAAGTAAATATATCTCAATGAAGCTATAATTAAAATGCATATGCAAATCCTAAAAAAAGGGGTAAACTGTTCAAGACTTCAATTCCTTCTATGCAAAAGAATCAGAGAGAAGAAAGATAAATTTCATTCCAACTTCTATGATCTGGCTAGCCCAGGTTTATCATGAATTCATGTTGATAAGCAAACCATATCCATGAAAGGGCCATTACCCAATGTTGGCCCCTGGTATCCAGGGTATTGGGATGGGTGAACTGGATACACGCCTAACCTCTGGTATTTTATTGCATGAAGGGGTCACTCTTTGACTCGAACCTGCATTCTCATGCTTGTGAGCCAGAGATTTTACAATTGCACCAAGCAATGGCCCCTAAAGTGAGTCAAGTCCATCATTTCCAAATATTTGATATACATAATACCATCTGCAAATTTTCAACAAGACCTACTTCTTCATGAACAGGCGTCAAACGGGTATGTGAATAACTTCTCATTGCTTTAGGGGAAGCAATGTCCTCAGCTTCAGACCCAGACTCAGCAGTTGATGTGTCACCACCTTTTATCTGCTTTACAAACAAAGCTGACTGTTGAGGATACTACCAAAAATACAGGTTAGAAAATTAAAGCTTGTTTTTGTCATAATGTACAAGATGATCAAATAGGCCTTACAGTTGGATAGTGTGGTCTAGCATAAGCAATTATCTTCCCATTAAGAACCATCTGCATTGCAATGCAAATACAAGAACTTAACAATTATAGCTACTCTAAACCTTAAGAAAAGAGGATAGACAAATTCTGCAGAAATTTCAATATCCTACGCAATAAAAAAAATTCACAAGGAAAGTAGAGAACCTTCAATATGCTTGGATCCTTCCATGGTCCTTTATCAGACCTTAGGCAACCACCCTGATCTGCACAGTTACAGCTACCACCAAGAAAGTCTGGCAATTCACTGGAGAATACTCAAGACATTGCAGAATTTTTAGCTAGTTAATAATATTAAAATAGCAAAGAAATAAAACATCTAAGATCAATGACTTGCTTCCCAAATTTATATGATGAACAACATTACCTGGCATCAATTATTTCAAGCAACTTGCTCTGGTATTTGTTGCCAAGAACCTGAGTAAATTTTGAAACACAATATTATTATATATAGTTTTCAGTGTCTCCAGAAAAGTTGAGAAATTTTGCTTCAAATGTATGTAAGGAGCCACATTATTTACATGAATCTTGGAAGTTGTTTTTGGATCCAGAAAAGTCTTCACAGTGCTCCATAGAAGCCTAAAACCAGGACCAGCATTGATGATAAACATCCGATAAAGTGTCTGCAGCAGTGAAGTATCCATACCATAAGAAAGTATATTATACAAAAGAATTCAGATAATGACTTCATATTCCTATGATTGCTACCAGAATGGTAACAGACAGGTACCTACCATTGGGATTCATAAAATGGAGAAATTGGTCAATTCTGGATTTGACATCCAAAATATTAGAAAGTGAAATGACATCTTTAATTACAAAAACTTTAAGACTGCTTTTAAATCATTTCCATTTCTTATCTGACAAAAAACATTGTTCAGAAAACAAGCGGTAAAATTCAAAGCATCATAAACAAAAAAAAAACTTTATGGTATAAAAAAAGAAAAACAGTTAGTTGAATCGTAATGGTACCTTTGCTGGTTTAATCCAGATACTGGATCATGTTAGATAGACACAGATTGAACCAGAAGGTTTGACATCTGGCTCAAGAGAGGTACTTCTAAAATGTTTTCTCCCTATAATCTATACCTATCTTTCCTTTCCACATTATCTGTCTGCATAGGGCCAGAATGCAGTCAAACCAGACTGAACAGAACTGGCCACATTTCAGTTTGCTGACTGGTCCAGTTTTAGAACAATGAGAAGACAATCATATAGAAAGCATTAAAAAACTAAAATTTTCACTGAGAAAACACAACAATAGAAAAGGTTAACGAAAGTAAAATTTAAGGTTCTTCATTTAGTTATATTATCAGAATTCAAAATTCTGGGGAATTTCAGTGGAATTTAAGACCATGTCTCAACTCAAATAAACATTTTATAGTTAAGTGATTGGGGTTGGGCATATAAACCCTGTTCCACCATTGCACTCCATCGAGATCATGGTAATTATGTAGTAGCTTAAGGGCCTTATAACTGCATACCTCAGGGTAGTTGTCATTATCAACCTTCTGCAGCCGCATAATGAGTTCTCGAGCAGCTTTGCTGAAATTCTTTAAACTCTGATAAAAAACCAAATGGTGAAAAATAAGAATCAAATAATCAAAATGCATTCTAACATAATTATTCTAACAATTATAAAAAAACCAATATGCATTGTAACTATATCCAACCATATAATCTCACCAGTGAAACTATTTCCCAAGACTGAGAAAAACAAAACAAACAACATACCACGCCTTGAACATCAAGAATTGTTGTACTCGAATCAATGTGCCTTTTTGCAGCAATTGAGCATGCTGGAAACTTGATTGCAAAGCTCTTCTCAAATTCCTGCACATGGTATTTCACGTACCGATCCATGTTTGTCACTTGCATGAGCTTGTTTGGATCAACTTTTCCTAATCTTTCAATGTATACAGGTCTTCCTTCCTTATCCACGCCATGATGGCCATGAGGGTAGTACTGTAAAACTTCATTCAACTCTTTGAACTCAAAGTCCTGGTGAAAAATTGGCATGGTAAACACGTCAATAAAAAAAAAATACACGACCAGGCAGCACATAAACTCATAATTACAAGATAAAATCATTGGAAAAAAGAGATACCAAGCACAGAAGATCCTAGGTTGACACTAGTAGAGCCATCAATGGCATCTGTTTCAGGTCAAGGTGTACCAGTCCCAAACCAACTATTAATTGGTTCCATAAAATAGACTCAGAACCAGAACCAATAATTAATCAGGATAATCGGATCTGACCCGTATAGATCTGATTATACTTGACATCTATAGTTACCTATAATAATAACTTACAACTTTACTTTTGATATCATAACATTAATAAAGATGGCAATAAAATAGTAAACTGTTTATATATATGTTCACAAAACAAGTGTTTCTAACCAAAATTGTCTTATGTACTGTCTATGAAACTTACCGTTTTAGACATTATATATGACAAAAATTACAAGACCATTTATATATTATTAATCCGTTTTGGTCTTAATTAGCTTGGAACTGCAAAAACTGGTCCCGACCCAATTCTTAATCGGGACTAAACCACAGAACCAGAACCAACATAATTGGTTCTTTTGGGTAAACCAAACCCGTTGGCATTAAGGAACCCCCTCCCCCCCCCCCCTTTGGTTCTTGGGCTGGTTTTTTTTTTTTTTTTTCTCAATAGATCTTGTGCAACTATGGGGAACTATTAAAGGATCCATATTATTAAATGGATTGGATATGGATTTGGCACCCATGTTAAAAGGTTACTACAGCCCAGGCCCAGGCTGACCATTGGGCCTGTGGCAGTAAATAACAAAAAATTATAACATTTTAAATTATATAATATACATGAAAAAAAAATGTTGCATAGACCAAAGCTGGGCCAGGCTTGTCTTAGCCTTGGTCCCATAACACAAAATAGGGCATGAGCTTAAAAACATGGTTATCTCTCCTGATATAGATGAAGGTAAGGCCTTCATTCTATTTCCTAAGTAATATGTAGGATTTGGGACAACCATGTGTTGAAGGCCTTATAAGCAATACAAACACACTCGAAGTGACTCAATAATGAGGGTTGTCCCAACTCCCAAGTCCTACATTGCTTAGGAATAGAATGTAGGTCATGCCTTCATCTATACAAGGAGAGACAACCCTAAAGAACCAGATAATTCTCTCCCATGTGAGTTGATTCATGTGTCAACTTATGAATATATATATATATAATATGTTAAATTTGTGTGGGTATATCCCTTGAAGTTTATCTGAAAGGAACCAAACCCTAATAGTCACATTTTAATCAATGTTTACAACGCATCAAGGTGAAGCTAGGCAACAGGGGGCAGGAGAATTTAAAAAAAAAATTAGAAAATAAAAAGGAGTGGAGCCCTTATTTTTATCTCAGTTATTCTATTGTTCAATGGATAAAATCTTCAAGTCCTTCCTAAATTAAGAATTCAGGTTTGAAGTCTTAAAATGGTTCGAGATAATGTCCACTGATTTGTGTGTCAGTTGAACCAAAACAAACAAGAAAATAATAAAAAGAAACTAGTATAATAATGTCTATTGTCATGTTATAATATCATAAAATAAATAAAATATAAAAATATCATGTAGCCCCCTTGTACAAAAACATTTAAGCAGTTGGGTGAGGCAACCCTCCAAGGGCACCTTGTCGCCTAGGCATCACCTTGACAAATATGATTTGGAAGCACAATAAGTTGTCTAATTATTCAAATCTAGACCCCAATCTAGCTATACCCACAATGGATCCCTCCTGTTTTAGTTTTAGTTCAAGGCATCTCTAGTGATGCCCAATTACTTTCATTTAATTCTTAGCTTTTTTTTCCCTTTTTATCATTATTAGAAGAGAAGTAGAATTTCTACGGAGCAAGTTTGAAACTCTTGTTTTCCCCTTGTTCTTCACATGAAAATATAGGATTGTATTTATCTTTTTACCTTGTTTGCTTTATTTATCTCAACTCATTTTTGCATTTCTTTTCTTTTTTATAATTATTTTTCTTCCTTTTTACCACCTGTTTGCATCCACTAATGTTTATAACATTTATTTTTAATTCCATCTTTTTTTATAGGTATTTTTATTCCATTTTCCAATCCATGAAACAAAATTAAAAAAGCTTTTTTTGTGCATAGCTTGCAAAATCATTTCCAGACTGATTTATCATTGCATCAATATACAAATGGAAATCATCTTTTCACATCATCACAACTGTCACAACTTTCCGAATATTCCAAAGGAGACATGCTTTAAGTTGGTGCCAATTAAACTATTGTTGGAATTTTTACCTCCATAACAGTGTCAGTACCAAAATCCTTTCTCCACTGAAGCATTTCAGCCCACATGTGTTTCGCTTTCTCAATATCAAACTTTCTTGCTTTCAAAAATCTGCCAATAAAGTAATTCTTCAGCATGAAACTGTATGAGTGTAAATTAAAGGGTAGGAAATAAATAAAGAAAATAATATTATCATTGCATGATAAATCCTAGAGTAATGAGGAAAACATATTAGCAATATGTCCAAACAAAATCCAATCATGACAGAGAAACGAACTGGAGATGAAAGACTCCGTCACCAGGTTGAGTTCACTCTTAAGTTTGATGGAAACTCAAGAGGGAATCTCCAGGCGAGGCAGGTATTGGTGGTACCATCACAATAAGAGAAACCTTGGGTCAGGGCCTTAAGTGGACCTTTAAGGGTGGCAGACTCTATTAAAGCTGAGATGTTGGCTACTCTTATTGGTCTTAGAATTGCGAGCCAGCTCAACCTGAATTCTCTATCAGTGGTAGGAGACTCAATTAGCACTATAAAATGGATGAATTCCCAGTTTCTAGGGCCTTGAAGATTAACCCACCATCTGTTTGAAGCTCATGGCTTGTCTGCATCAAGACCCACTTCATTTAGATGGATTCCCAGGGAACTTGATGCTGTTGCGGATGGTTTAGCAAAATCAGGTGGTGGAGTAACATAAATGTTTTCTGGTCTTCCATCTTGGAAAATCCAAGGACTTGACAAAAAAAAATCAACTTTGTATCTAAATGATAGTGAACAAATATGTAACCTGTACACAGTTAACTCTTAGAGAACAAGTAACTTTTTGTATGAGGAGATTTTTCTTACTTCACACATCAATCTAAATGATCTATGATCCTTAAAAAGGAAGAAATTAAATATGGATAACTTTGTTATATTTATTAGCAGCAATCTTCAAATGTTCACCAACAGATTAAAAGTCCCTACCTGTTACAAAATAAAATTCTTTAATATACAATCATAACGACCATAAATAAAATGATCAATTATAAATTTTATCAATCAAATTAGAGAAACTTATAGACAAAATATCATAACAGCATTGTGATTTGAAAATTAATGCATAGTTTGCAAGGATGGAATAAAGCAACCAATGTGAAAAAAAAGATGGTATAAAGAGCCAAAATTATTTATAAGGAATACTAACTTGATAAAAATGAATTTAATCTTGTCTCATCAACTTGAGAGATTTAGCATACAACTTTACACTGGCATCTACTAGTATCCAGCAGAAAGGTGCATAATGTACAATAACAAAGCTAAATACCAGAAGGAGCATACCTTAACATCATGTGATAATCATCATGTCTTTCAGGCAGCAATTCATCCAATAGAAGAGCTTGTCGAAATGCATCTACAGCCTGTAGCTCCTCTACATCCCGGACATCCTCTATTGAAACTGAAACGACTCGGCCATCGCTTTTCCTCCTACTGCTCTTTTTCTTAAGAGAATGTCTGAATTTAGTTGATGCATTTATTGCTTTCTTCTTTAGGGACCCAATTCTCGTCCTCCTTTCATCCTCTGAATTTTCAAAATCAGATTTCCGTTCTCTTCTTTCATCATGACTAGAAAACCCCTCAAAACCTATATCATAGTGCAAAATCAACTATGAAAATTCACGCAAGTCCAGGATAAGATCTAGGTATGGCAAAATCATAAGCAACTTTCCAATTTTCATATCCATTCAGTTCAAAGAAAAGACTATTAAAAGAAGTACAAACAATGGGGATGTAGAATGTAAACTAAAAGTTTAATCAGGGCCACTTATCAGGTAAACTAAAACATAAAGAATGGAAAAAAAAATGACAACCAAAAAGAAACAAAAATTAGACTGACAACGTGCAGCAGGAATTCAAATGCACAAAAAAATAGAAAATAGAAAAATAATTTTCTATAAGGTTGAAACAACTTGGTTTGATAAAATAAATGGTTTGTTTGAAAATGAATAAGATGGAATTGCAAATACTTGAACTAGTTAAGTACCTAAGACCAAATTCTCACCAGGATGATGTGGAAATACCCTTACTAAGAATATAGAAATACCTAAATATCTTCAAATTCACATTAAAATTACATTGATTATCCTACCAACCTCACGCATAGCTTTTTAATTTCCATGTACAAATTATCAAACGAAATAAAACGTGAAGTATGGAAAACTTCAAATTTAGACAATATAAACCTAAGGCTAAATTGAAATAAAAAGAATCCAATACCAAAAAAAAAAAAAAAATCCTCTTTGAAGAGAAAATGCCAAATTTCCCTAATTTCCGAACACACATAACTACTTAATTTAGTGAATTTGAATGAATCCAAGCCTAGAAACCACCTTATCGAAGTAAATAATCACCCCACATTCGGTAGTCACGACCAGAAATAGAAAGCAAGCGAATTGCTCATAAAAATAGAAAGAACCCTAGAAGTCGCAAAATCAACAAACAACAAGGAAAAAAACACAAAGACAGATCAAGCAAAGCGGAAATACTCACAAGGCCTAGCGAATCGATCGAGCGGTCCCGACATCCCTACTTTCTCCAATCGAGACAAGAAATATCAAGCGAATAGAATCAACCACGCATCACCGTATCACCTGAAACCCTAAAAATACCTACATTCTAATAAGAAGCCATGAACAATAACGAATCATGCATACAAAAAAAGGAAAAAATACATTAAAAAACCATAATAAATACCTGAAAGCGTTCGCCGGGAGGAGATAAATCGAAGGGTAATAATAATAAATTCTTTGATCGAAACCTTCGACCGGTATGGATCCTCGAGCATTAATGGGAGAATCCCTTCGTGAGCTGAGGGCGAAAGGGGGAGAGAAGGGCTGAAGAGAGAAAGAGAAGAAAATTAATGTACAAAATAATAATAAATAATAAATATTACTGGTAAGAAGTACGGGATCAAAATTGAAAAGATTTTAGGGGATGACTGAGTACAGAGAGAGGCCAGAGGACAAGGATATAGTGTGCAGGTCAAGGGCTCCAGGCGGATTGTATCGTGTTAGTTACTGTGCACTTATTTCGAAGACCGGTGAGAAGTGGGACCATTCACGCATGATCCTCTTCCACGTGGCAAATGAGGGAATCCACGGACGGTAGGTGTAGAGTATTGACTTTTTGGAAATACGGAGTCTACACTCAAAAACCCAGAGCCGCTGTACAATTGAATATGTCCATGGGATCAGAATCTTGTAAATCAAAGAATCGAAATTTAGTTATAGATCATCATTCTAAGACAAAAGATTCCAATCAAACAGATAGAGGGGAGGGGATTGAGTGTGAAACTCAGCCCTGTTCCACTCACATCCCTCGTACGAATGGGAATATAGGAGCAGATTGAGATTGATGGAGTGAGTCATAAAATTCTCAAGGCAGAAGAATTTCTTCCATTCACCGTCTACACTGTGGGAGTGGTCAAAAAAGTACTGGCGGTGATCAACTGATCACATTATACCTATACACACCTTTTTAATTTAAAAGCAGAAAAGCTGTTTTTTTTTTTCTTTGTATGTAATTTTTAATTTTTAATGATTAGAGCACATTCCATTTTTTAGGGGCATAATAATGAATTTGCCTAAAACCGAAATTCCATTTTTTAGGGGATATGCACCTTAAGGTCCGTTTGTTTGCAATACAAACACTGAAGTATGTACTGTGATTTGTGTTTGAGAGCGTTCTATTTGATATGTAAAAAAGTAATAATTATCATATTAAAAATATATTTTTTTGACATTTTTATAATCTGAAAAGAGAGTTTTATTGTATTTATTTGTTTGATACAATTTTGTATATTTTGATAATCAGTTTTTAAAAACAGTTTAAAACCTAAATTGTATTTGCATTATTATTTTGTAATGTATATATTTTTTGCATTTGCATTGTAAGCAAACGCAGCCTAGGGCCTCCAATTTCATTAGTGGCACGAAAACACGAACAAAAAAGATAATCAATTACACCAAACAAACGGAGCCTAATTAATTCCTTTGCTTCTACTAATTGAAAGTTGAAACCGAAATTCCATCACAACAGAAGAGTAAAATAGCTGTAAGCCAGTAGGCCTAAAAACTGTAAGCTTCCTGCGTTATCACATGTGCCCTCCTCCGCTCCGCACTGTCACAATTCCAACTTAGCAAGCAAATACAGCTTCATCCTTTGGTCTTCTAATCCAAATTAACTGGCTTATTCTTTTATTATTTAATTTTTTTAATAAAACTCGAGAGCGTTGAATTGAACAAATCAGATTCTTTATCTTTTTAATTTTATATTGTTAAAGAGGCAAATTCCTTCATGGGTGGTTACATTATTGATCAGCTGTCGGCAAGCTACGCGGAGGCAATGCTTTTAGTTTGATTGTTCAAACTTGAAAGCTTTAAATTTAGTGCAAACCAGAGAGAGAGAGATGTCTGCTATTATTCCATTACCAGGCCAGCAGAGTCAACCCAAAAACAATGTTATTTATATTATCTATGTAATCAGACTCTTCAATTCAATTCAAGGTGATATTTGTCTACAGTCAGTCTCACCCATTTCAGAAGAGAGAGGGCATGATTGGTCTCATCCATGGTGTTGGACTCGTTGCAGGCAACATGATGACATCACCTCACTTGTTTAAAAAGGGGAAAGGGGAAGAGGTTCCGCTTGTTGGGGTTTGGTAAAATTAGTTGGCTCACTTGAGCCTCAGATACATACAAGAGAAAGAGAAAGTACGTGCCATTGGGTGGTGAACAAGGGCATTTCAACTGCTAGGAAAGAGACAGTGCATTAATGTTTGTTTGAAGTACATGTCGTTGGGTGTGACAATGGCCTATTGTTTTTCCTCCTCACATTTGAGTTTTCATCAATCTAAATAATGCATTGTACCCAGAAATGAAGCTTTTGCTTCACTATTCTACTTGTTATGGACACAACACCCACAACTCCTCTCTCGCTCACTCTCGACTCCACATCTACGCCCCACAATGTCCCACAGCGTATCTTTCCCATGTATTTTTGTCCTCCATCTACCATCCAAGTTCTTTCCTTGCATTTATTTTGCAATTTTAGTGATTTGTACTAATATACTTGGAAGAAAACCAATGTTTGGAATGTTAGAAGAAATAGGTATTTTTCTAAGGTTACGTTTTTTGTTTCAAAGCTGCATTTGTTTGCGGTGTAATGTTAATCCCGCTTTCCATTTGCAACAATTCACAAATTTAAACTGATGATGTGCAACTTTATGGTGTAATTTTGCTTTTACATCACAATCAAATGCAGTCTTATATAATTTACTGAAAATTACTATTTCAAAGTATTTTATTGCATGAAAAATGGGCATGGAATGAATTGGGATCTGCTCCTCATACAGCATGCCTCACACCAACCTCATACTCACATCCCACCCTTTATTAGAAACATCGCCCCATAAATAATAAATACAAATACTAGAAATGTTCTCAATGTACGGTCAGAACTTGCTGTGAGGTGCACTCCCTGAGGAACAGATCTAGACTCACGTGGAATGACATCTTCTTACTTTCTACAACGTATTTTCTGACGATACATTGGTCCTATTGATTTGTCTACTGCAACATTCTATAAAAATATTCTGCCCGAAATTGGACCTCTATAAAATCAGTATTGCCAACATTATTATCAAGTGCACATGTTTATCATCTTTCTTTTCTATGTGTGCTTTTTTCATGTATTTAGAAAGCATTTTCACATGGTCTGACATTCACTCCTCTTAATGGATGATGTCCTTGCTCAAAAATAAAATGTTTATTTTTCAAATTAATTAAGCAAAAGACCAAGAAAATTACTATGAATTGTTTTTCCTATTGATCAATGAAAAGGCCAAATTTGGCCGCCAACTAGAATTAGCCACATGGGCACCAAGATTGAATAATAAAGGCACCCTCATGTGAGACTGGATCGACTCCTCACATAGGGCGCCTCACACGCACATCCTATTATGCATTGAGAACATCTCCCATAGTTTTAAATTATTATTCACGGGAGATGTTCCCAATACACGTTGAATGTGCATGTGAGGCGTCCAAGTGTGAGGAGCATATCCCATTCCCCCTCATGCATGGATTACTTGGATTGGTTCGGAAGTCTGTCTCCTAACAAGATTGAGCACGACACATCCTCTATACCCCCCAAAAAGGTACATAAAATATATAGCCTTATCTTGCTTTATTGCTCTTCTTATAGATCAATTTCCTTTGGTCGGTCCAACAATTTATTGTCTATCTATTGACTTAAACATCTAAGAGCTCACCTTGGGGATATACTTAGGACTCTGCTTTCTTACAGGTCTTTAGAAAAGCAGTTTGGTTCATCTGCTCATCTCGATTCTCCCCCTTTTTTCTCTTCTTTAGCTGTTGCCCAGATTCATACTACAATAATTAATACTATTTTCAAAGAAATCATTTGCTTGCCTTCAATTTTTTGTGCAGCCAAACGCAACCTAAATGAATTTCGACAAAGCTTTAACACCTTGAATTGCATGCCATTAAGGTTAAGAGATGAATTTGTTTATGTTTATATGTTTGTGTAAACTTGTTTATGTTGGTTTGGGTGCTTTTGGAATCTCTTTCATGCATAAAATTCTCAATATGAATTTGATTTTCTGTTTATTTTAAGCTTACTTTAATTGTTTAAATCAAATTTCTATATTTTCGAGAACCCATACAATAATTGTTTATTAATATTTTAAGTATCTTTTATGACTGAAACAAGCCTATAACTTGAGAAGAGTTGTATTAAGATGTACGCAGGTTTCTCATTGTATTTATAGTGGGGTTGATCCCACTCTAACTCTCAAATTGTGTTGTTTCTTAATTCAAGATAGAGACCTGGCTCATATTAATAATAAATCAAATCTAATTTTATTTTCAATGGTATGGAGTCCCATTGTTTTAGATAAAATGGGTCTCTTAATTAAAAAACAAATTCAATAGCCTAAATCAAATAAAAATTCTCAGCCTAAACGATACAAGTTACTTCTTGGATGGTGGGTAAATGACTTTCCAAATACCGTGTATGGGATCATTCACTAGTGGAAAATGAAACGGGAACTTTCCTTCCCCATTCTCCTTGATTGGTAATCTTTTCTTATATGCTTTGATCCTTTACACAATGGGTAAGGGTGTTACTAAAAAACCGAAACACCAAAAAAATGATGAAATCAAACTAAAAAACCAGTTAACTGATTGGTTCAGATTTGATTCAGTATCTTTGAAAAACTAAAGGACCGATTTAGTTTTGGGTTATCTAAAAAAAATTCCCAATTGACTGAACCAAATGATATATATATACATATATATATATATATATGCATTATACATATATTTATATATTTATTTATAAATATATAAAAAACCAAAGAATTGAATCGATCACAAAATCGAAATGGTAGATTTTATACACCTTATAGTTCCTATGGTACGACCACACCAATTTTTGAGGAGCCTAACCATTATTGAAAGGGATTCAATGGCCTATTTGGAGTATGTATACGGGAGCCGGAGCCCTTTCACTCAGATGTCGAAGGGATTTCTACATCCAAATTAAGAAAGGTTTGGTGATTTCAATGGAACCCTTCAATTTGATGATGCTTAATAGGGATGCAACTCGGGTGGATTCGGGTTGGGTTTTTGTCAAAATTTGAATGGACCTGGTCCTAAGGCCCAAGCCAAAGGTTTTAAACATGCCAACCCGAGTTGCACCCCTAAGCCCCTAACCTTTGGGTTAAGGCAGGGAACTACCTTGATAAGCCCATTTATTTTCTTTAATAAAGCAGTACAAGAGGAAAATTGTGTCTATCTTTGTAGCCGAAGCATGGGTGGCAGGAGAGATCCCTGATTCCTTTTTAAGCGTCAACAGTCAACAACATCATCCCATTGAAGTCTGTAGAGCCCGGGAAGTTGGAGTATTCAAAATGTTATTGGCGAGCTAGCTGAAGGGCATTAAAATTTGAAATTCTGTCTGAAGAAGCCAATCAAGGAGCAGACCAGTTTGGCAGTCCATCCAAAAAAGAAAATCATATTGATATTATAATAGCAACTTGGTACCAGAACAAGAACAGGACGACGAACATGCCAAACAATGGACAAAAAAGATACTATACTTGAAGGGTACACATCACCAACACCTCCACTGATACCCCTCTTTCTCTCTCTCTCTCCTTGTGGGTGGGTGGGTAGAGGGAGCATCTCACCATATTATTTCCATATTATTTTGGTTTTATTTATTTTATTTTATCTTGTATCAAGTATTCCCCACTTTCTTACATTGGATTTGCTAGTTTGATCAGGAAAAAGAAGGGTTGCCTATTAGTGGATGCCCTATCCAGTGGATGGTTCTAATCAACCATAGGATTCCTCAACATGATAGAAATAGATAAATTTGAGATAGATGGTTTTAACCCTCAAGTCATCCATATCCATCCAAAAAGAAAAGAAAAAACCCTCAAGTTATTAACGCTTTATCTTGACCATTAGAGCAAAGTTTAGCCTGTATTAACTGATACGTATCATATTGGAGCCTTCCCGATACGTCCCTACAGGGGGGTGTTTCAGGTCGGCAAGTGGTTCAGGGGTAGACCGACTCCTCTAAATCAGATTCGAAAAAAAAAAAAAAGAAACAGTACCAATACAGGCCGCCGATACGCCCTACCTGCATATCACCATGTATCAATATTTTGAACCTTGCATTAGAGTTGTGAACCATTCCAAATTTCCAATCCAGTCAACCAAAGACCATGTCCTCTGTAAGATTGAACTCTCTTGTCATTTCTAACTCCTCAACTGAACTGTTGTCCTTTTAATCTTCTCTTAGCTCTTTTACCTTGCATTAGGTCACTTATTACTAGTTTAGTGGTTGGATTTTTTTTCGTTATTTATCTACACTTGAAATAGGTTTCCTCCTTATGCTAATTAGGGTCCTTTATCATGGAACCATGTGGAGGAATTATCTGCGCTACTTGGAGAATCCACTAGATATGGATTCCCTCAATTGGCATGCCATCATTCCCAAAATCAAAGCCAGCCCTATACGGCTATACCATAGAGCTTATCTCATCTCGACTCATCATGGTCCATAACAGAACCTAAGGCTCAGCAAAGACCTATAGCAGGTAAGCCTACAATTTTGACTGCTTTGGCCCATATCAGCCCGTTAAGGCCCGGCTAAAATTCTGAAAAGTGTCCAGTTCTTTATTGGGAGACTAAATACAAAATCCAGTTCAGATCTGCTACCAGCAAACGCTCTCAATACTGTCCCAACAAGCCAATAGCCTGTTGGGACAGTGTTGGGCAATGTGGACTGACAATATCATGAGAATTGAGTTGCCTCGTGCCAGTTGGAAATCGTGCCTCCAGTGTCCAATATCTTTTGGCTTTTGCCAATCCGAATTCAGAGGTCTCATTGACACAAATGCCAACTCCCTTGCTGGTACTGCATATCAGAATTCAGATCTGATCCTAACCCTCTTCTTTTCTCTCTTTTTGTCAGTAATCGCATTGTCTCTCGTGTTGACTCCACACCCCTCCTTTCTTTCTGTCTTGTATAGGGCAAGAGATCCAATCTCTCGATTCCCCCATGTAAAGCTGTAGAATGTTGGCGTATTCGATGTGTTTGATCATCTCAACAGTCAACACTACATAAGCCCATCAACCCCCGCCGAATGCCGACAGCAAATACGTCAATACACCGTTCCGCGCAAAGAGGAGAGAACAATGCTTCATTCACATAGTTTTAGACTGTTATTAGGCTTTTAGCACGGGGCTAAAACCCTGAATCAAGCATTATTATGGGATCTCCCGCGAACACTGGCAATGTGAACTGGGCTATGTAGCACCAATAGGCCCCACAAGGCCACAACAAATGTTGCCCGCTTCGTCTATTTGGGAAAGCTTCGCTATTTGAAATGTGCCTACTATTTTGTACGAGCTGAGCCCCCGTACAAAATCCTCAAAAGCAGTATACGGTGAAAATCCAAAAAGCTATTGCTTCGTCAGGGAAAGTCTGGGCACCGCCCTTGCAACCTCACATTAGAAATATCTTCCCATAAGATATTTTCAATACAAGATTGTAAAGCAATGTTTTAAAAATCAACCCAGATGCCTTAAGTATATATATATATTAATATTGTGTGTATAAATATATATTTTATCAATAAATAATGTATCAATATGTTTTAGATATGTTATTTATATTTTTTAATTTATAAATAAAAAAATTAAAAACTTTGAAGCCAAAAGAAAGTTTTTTTTTACAAAAATAACAGGGTAAGGTGCTATCGACACCTTAGAACGGATAGATCTCAAAAAAGTGCCCAAAAAAAAAATCACTCTAATTGGACATTGGAGTGCAAAATTATAACCTCCAAAAGTTTACATTGAATGTGCAACCCATGACCCGGTAACCGGATCAAATAGATCAATGATTGAATCAATCAAGTCAAACAGTTCTTGACCAAATCAACGATTTTTTACCATATGACGAGTCTTGACTTAATCAGACCTAAAATCTCGACCAGGTGACGGTTCAGCTGGCCGGGTCAACAACACATTGAAAACACTGCTTTAAAGGCTGGTCGGACGGGCTTTGCCCTGACTGAAGCCGAACTCTATGGCCCAAGGCTTTCAATTAACACAACTCTATGCCTCTAATAATTCCCTTTTACAGTGAAACGCTTGAAATATTAGAGGCAGGGATTACAAGCAAGACAAGAAAAGAGGGCAGAATGCATGCGCATGCCATATGCTCCAAAAAAATTAGCAGTATTGCTTTCATCCATCTACATATTTATTCACAACCTTACTACATACACGGCCTACGACAGATCTGATCGACCGATCGTAGAGAATGATATGATACTGAATATAGAAAACACACGGTTGTCCACGTGCGGACCTCTACTAGGGAACATCTATCCACCTATACAAATATTCACATACTGAGGAGGTACCCAGATGTAGAGAAATATATACCGACTGACTTTCTTCCTGGAACATCAACTTCTATATACAAATTTTCTGCGCAAGACCACTGAAAGAAACAAAAAGTAACTTCTTGTGAGTACACAATTTATTCATGCCAGATCGTAAGCGGAGAAGCAGAAAAAACTCGCCACAGCCTGCAGATCAATAAGTACCTGTTATGTCCAGTTCCTTTTCTGGGAACGGAGTTGGGTGAGTTTATCCCTCCACCGAGCTGTTGTAAACAGGAAAATCTCACAAGCTCAAAAATTGAAATTCAACAGAAACACAGATAAAAAAATCAACAATTAAAAAAAAAAAAAACTAGAGGAGATTCTATACTGAAACCAGAATATGCCACAAATCAATAATCAAGGATACCTGCATCCCTGTATCTTTCTTCAACAGCAGCAATTAGCATGTTACGAACAAGATCAAATTCTTTGGCTTCAATACATGGCTGATCATCTGGTCTGCAAACATTGCTACTTCTGTCAGTATCTCAGTTATTTCATGACATGATAAGTGAGAAAGAAACTACTACGTGCGATAGCATTTTGCACCCAATCACTTTCCGATCCAAGTTTAAAGGGCCAGAGTACGCTCATGAATCTCAAGTTGACACTCTTCCAAATTTAAGTGCCTCAAGATCAGTGAATAGCTAAAAAAGATAGACAAATTCATCCATTAGATTCAAATAGTTGACATCTGGTCTACCCACTTCTCAACCAAGTCAACCATTTTCATGAACAGTTCAGGTGGTTAACTGTTCTGGCGACCAGTTGATGGCATGGTCCAAATGACATGCACTGGTCATGTACACTTTTTAGTTGAAGAGCTTCTTCATAAATATACTAGGCATATATTCATACATAAACTACACATTCATATACATATAAATATGTAGAAAAACAATGTTCTGGGTTCTACTGTTAGTTCTGATGGTACCTGTCCAGATTCGTAAACAAAAGGCCATCTGAAAGAGGAGGTTGAGACACCATCTTTGCAGGTTCAACAACTCTCATTCCGTCATTGTATGCCAAATATTTGTTAACTTGAATTGGTACCTGCATGAGATTGGAAAAATCAGCCTCAACGACCTCTCTACATTCAAACTCTAGTACCTTAAGAAAAACAGAAAGAACAAAGAGAAACTGCACTACTGTCAGAGGGGACAGTAGTGGAGGAGCATAACAATGATATAGAGAGAGATTCATCTACTTGCTCAAGTATATTATTTCAGGTGGACATAATATGAACCACATATAGTTATACTCTAATAACAGGATATTGAAATGAAGAACAGAAGAACTAATCAAAACAAGATATAGAATAATAGAATCACCAAGAACAAGGATATACACCAAGAGATCTAAAAAGAATAATAATACCTTATTTATTTATACATTTATTATTCAAAACTTGATCTACTCTCTCATAGGCCAATTTAAGATCCCCCTTATAGCTTATTTTAGCTACCTAATAAAACCCCATCAAATTCCATAGCATTAAATAAATATCTTCAGAGACTTGTATTTCCTGAATGAAGCAGCGTCAAATAAGAGCAAACCTTCTTAGTTATATGTCGAAAATGGTATTAGTGGAAGTAGTCATGGGTACCATACAGCAGATATGTATTTAACTGACAACTCATTGACCAAAAATGGGTAAAACTGAGGGCATGTAAGAGTCATATGAATGAGCTAGAAATCCATGGTGGAATGGCCTTTATATAATCCCACCTTACAAGTTACAACAGTCAACCCTACTAGCATACGACCTAGTGATGTCATGAACTTTGTCCATTGTATTTTGTTCAGTGCAGTAAAAGTGAAATGTGATGCATTCATAAGGTGAGGCACATGCAAGAACAAAGTGAACTGCTTTTGACCAAAAAAAAAATCTTAATACCTAAATTCTGAAAGAAATAGTATATATCAAAAAGTTTTTTGGCTCAATTGTAGAGTATCATGTAATTAACCGAAATGCTATAGCATTGTATTTTCAAGTCCTACATAGGCCAAACTATTTAAAGAGTAAGTATTGTATCTGCAACCTATAATATAGTAATTATCCATTCAAGATTAAATTCAAGGTTAATTTATCAAAATATAACTAGTCAGATCATGCGCACCCAACAAATTGAACCTTGTCTGTAAGCCTTCATGCTCCTTTTGAAATACTGAATTTATTGTGGATGTAACATTATTTAAACACTGGTGCTTTTTCAACTAAATCATCCTAGGTCTGACAAATTCACTAGAATATTGGGTTAATATAAGGCTGATCAAATTAATTGTCAATTTCCCTTGATAAGCTCAAATAAATGTGGAAATCCATACTTCAATGAGTTCAATCATCATCATCATCATTCAAGCTTTGTCCCAATTACATGGAGTTGGCTACGTGAATTTTGTTCCGCCATTCTGTTCAGTAACTTAAGTGACGGTTGGAGTCTCCAGAGCCAATTATATAACAAAATTCCAAAGGATACATCTAGCACGGTAAATTAAATGATTCTAACACTCTGTTGAGTAAATCATCCTAGATCCAATAAATTCTGCAAAAATATTGGTCTCATAAAAAGCTAGGTCAAATTAAAGGTCACCTCTTCATGATAGTTCCACCTCTCAGGAAAGGTAATATAGAAACCAATAGTGCGCTGTTAATTTGTCATACTCATGCCCCCAGAGAATGACAGCATTAAAAGAAATAAGACAAAAACAAAAAAAAGGCTCTCTAACTTTTCTTTGAGTTAGAAATGCCTTAGCTGACATTCTAATTTCCAGTTTCTCACAACCAGCAAAATGATCCATCTTACCAATCCATGGAATAATAGATATAGAATTTATTTCCCTTCCCTTCAAAAGCATTTACTTTTCCCACTTGTTCTCTTCATTCATTCTGATACGGACCAGAAAACAATCCACCATCTAATATTTGTCATCAAAATCATTCTTCCTATATAGCTTGCTGAGTCCCAAGTTAACTCCACTCCCAAGTATGGGAAGTCAAGTCATTCTGATGATTCAAAATATTCATTATTTAGTCCGATTGAGATTGACTCAAGTGACTCCAACCCTCCCCAAGTCAATTGATTGACTCTGAGTCAAATTCCTTCAACAACCTCCTGTATATATGATTTCAAAACACAAAAACTGCATTGAGTGCTTTAGAAGTTTCTAATGTTTCTTTTCTATGAAAAAATCAAGTAATTAATAATGATTTAAATTTTGTGCATCTATTCTTGGTGTATTATTGGCAGCAGATTCATAATAACCTACTTTTGGATTTACAATCCATCATTATGCAAGCATAAAGATATAAAAATGAAAACAATGTCATCCAACCATAAACTCTAAAAGCTTTTAAGCTCTAAAATTGTGACATGGCCAAGGATCCTTTATTTGAGACCACAACTTCCACATTGACCCCACCCTTGGGCATAGCTTTCAAGGTGGCAAGGCAAGGCTAGGCAACAGGGGGCACCTTGTTGCCTAGTCGCCTAGGCAATGAATTATTTTTAAGTAAAAAACATTTACCGTAAGGTAGTTCCCTAAGTTCCAATAACCATATTTCCTAAATAATTATCCATAATTTTCATAAGAAAGGTATAAACTTCATGTAAGTATAGAAAATCAACATATTCCAACATATTTTATAACACACCGTACAAAACTACTTGGCGATTAGGCAAGGCGAACCTCCAAAGGGCATCTTGTTGCCTTGACAACTATGCCCTTGGGCATCTTAAGTCAAGCTGGCTGACTCAGCCAATTAGTAAACCATGCTTCTAACTCCTCATTCTCCTTTATTATCTTTGCCCGAATTCTATATTTGTTTGTTCCTTTTCAAATTTCAGTTGGTTATTACTCACTTGACACTCAATACAAGTCTCAGAACAATCTCTTTAGTTACATGTTGATTTGAACAAATTTGATTTTTGAAGAAGGGAAAGAACCCAAAGAAAAAGAAACCAGCTTTCTCCTGATTACTCATCCAATGGCAATGTTGTAACTTTTGGGTGTTCTAGATTTTAGTACTTTATAGTCTTTTAAAATTTATTTTCTAGTTTGTTAGTGTCTTAGGAGTATGGTCAATCATCTTAAAGGGTCAAATTAGTTTATAAAGTCTGACTAGAGAGTTTTTGAAATTTTGAAAAGTTGAAGACACAATCACACCATTTTTCCTTTCGTCTTATTTTCTTGGGCCAAATCTTGTCAGTTTTGCATGATTTAGGTGTCCTTAGATAGGTAATTGGGTCATCTATCCAATGAGACCAATCACCAATATCTTCTACATTTGACATGTTTTGAGGGGGTTGTGGTCATTTTCGTGATAAGGTGTCAGTCAATAATGAGATTTGGGTCTTTTGAGGAGGTTGTGGTCATTTGACATGGAGCATTTCATCTCTCCCCTACTTAAGTTGCTGAATCTGTATAAAACTCTTGAATGTTTAGAATTGGGTAATTTGGTATGAAGTTCTACTGTATGTAATGTTCTGTGAAAGCATATAAAAATAAGTGATCCTTTCCTTTCAAAACTTACATGCCAGTTGGCCAAAAAAACGTACTAGAAGCCCAATTACATACAGGTAAGGCTTCCATAAGCTAGCGTTTACATAATACAGCAATATCTCTAAATACCTCTTGTAAGAAGATGTATCAAACAAACCATTTGCTGATTTGCATGGGGAAAGATAATATGCATATATCAAGATGTCAAAAAAATACCTTACATCGTACTGCAATGTTAATGGCATCTGAAGGCCTGAGATCAAAACTAACTCTTTGTGTTTCATCGTCTATCTGCAGATGCATCCAAAGTATCATCAGTAAAACTGACTACTGTATTTTAAATGTCCATCTATACCTATATAACATATACAAAGCAGGGAGATGATGTAGCATGTAGGAATAACCTTCGTAATGTATAACTGAGCAAAATATGCCTCATTTACTCTTTTGGTTACTCGGACAAGTTTTACCTGCATATAGAATAACATAACACAAAGGAAATGTTAAATAACGTACCTATAAAAAATAAATAAGAGGATATACAGATATCCCAGCTTTGTCAAAGTGGGAAAATGAGTGGGAGAATGCATCATGATAATACCTCATATCCCATTGTCTCAGTCATCTCCTTCATTACTTGATATAGAGTAGGCCTAGCCTGATGCAGAGTTACCAAGCTCAAATTTCTTTTAACAAAGGCATAGGAAGGAAGATCCTAAATCCTAATACTGATAGATTAATAACCAAGGAGAAAAAGAAAAGACTAACTAGAAAATTAATAACATACCATTGGAACATTACGAACTGCAGCCATGAGCAAGATGCTTGGCATCTCCACTGCAGACAAACAGAAACAATCAATGATGAGAAAACTGAAAAGTATGAAATGTTAAGAAAACAGAGTTTGACTATAAGTTGTATATTTTTCAGTCGATAATATATAATGTAGATTCTTTCAAGATGTTTTGAACATATGTACGTACAGACAATTATGGGAAGAAGAAGACCACTTCCATCCTCCATCTTCAGTACAATAGCAGGATGTGGAGCATAATCAGGTAGATGTCCACCTTGAGGGTTGTTGTGAACACATCTTAAATGTCTACCATCTCTCATTTTTATCATGAAACCATCTGAGCTACTTTTTACCTCAACTACATAAAGATAAGAGGAGAAACTGATCAGTTTAAGGCGGGCCAAGTTTCGGAAATTTAAGAAAATACCAAAGGCCATCGTTGCAAATTATGCAGACCAGTAGCAACTTAGAAGTTTGATGTAGGCAATCAAACAAAACTATTGGTATTTGAACTTGAAAGGTAGAAAAGCCATAATGCAAAATAGCATGATATTTGGATCAATTCTTCAATGTTATTCAATAACAATAAACTACATGAAAAAGGGATGAAAGCAACGAATGATAAGTAGCAAGAAATTCAAATAAATAGCTACATGCTAGACCAGAGGCATGCACAAAGTCTTTCATGAGGAAAAGAGATTACAGTGATTTAAAGGGATTATGTAATAAGGAAGATATAGGTTGATTTTTTTTTAAGCATACCGGCTTCAACTACACTGGAATTCACATAATCTTCATCATTCTCATTGAAGTTCTCTGCCATGCTACCATTATCATTTGATGATGAACGGAAGCTACAGTGTATTGTCCTGGATTTTTGCAACAGGGCTGGATGAGAGAGAGCTTCCACATTAATCCTACTTCGGCATCTCCTTTTAGATCCCCATAACTTGCTTCTGAGAATCTTAGCTGTCATAAGAGGCCCATTTCCTGGAAGAGTATATACTCCAGCCTGCTTTGTACGGACTGTGGGGCAAATAACAGATCCTTGAAGAGTTCCCATCACACCTCCTTCAAGATATCAATAATAGAAATCTGTAAGTCTTCCACGAGAGGGCGCTGACCAATAAATTCATTCAGAAAACGATATTATCGGTTGAAAACACACACTCGATTACAATAACGAGATTAAAAAAAAAAAAAAAAGAAAAAACAGGAAATCTTATACGAGAGTGAACAATTGATCCATGATAGTAGCAAGGTCTATAACTTTCTCAACAAAACACAGTTCAACTGTTATAGTAATACCGTATTACCGTATGGAGGCTACCGACTGTTTGACTATTGGTAAACAACGACAGATATTTCAAAAAACCACATTGCCCAGTACGGCATCTTAAAGAATTTTTGAAATTATCGACAGAAGACTGACATTTGAATTGAAGAAACAAGAAACGTTACAAGTAATAGATGTCCACAACACTTTTAACATCAAAGAATGTAAAGAAAACAGGGAAAGAAGATTATTTAAGCAGAATTCTGAACCAATTACCGCTGAAATTTATAACGGATTCCAGAAAAAAAAAGGCGCAAAAAAAGAGTAAAAAACGTAACTTTCTGCTTAGTTCATAACTGTTTCGAGAGGAATCATTATAGAAGAGCAACAAACACATGAAATCCCACTACCTGATAACTTCTCTAATCTCTCAATCTACCGAAATTTAGAATCTGGAGCTGTTTCTCAGCGACCGCAAATAAAAACAGGAGGCTGAACCGCAGATTCTCGGGAAAGCAGGAATTCCTGCAACTCAAGTTCGATTTCGAGCAAAATTAAACCCTGACCGAGATCGCCATGTGATCGATCGATCAAATAATATGTTTTTCTTTTTTTCCTTTTTCTTCTTCTTTTTTTTTTTTTTTTGTTATTTCGCCTTAAATCAAGCAGATCTTTGTGTAGGCAAGCCAACCGACGCTAGCCAAACCCTAGTATGATGCCGATCTCTTTGCAAGAAGATGATGGAATCGCTAGCTAACACGAAACTTCGAGTGGAAGAAGGCATAGAGCTCCCTCGCTTTAAATCAATCGAGAAAAGAGGATCAAATGAAGAATTTTAGAAGTGGATGAGGATAAGTCATTAGGAAGCTAACGAATGTAAACTTTTTTCAACCAAGTGCCCAAGTGGCAATTACAATTGTGTCCTTTCGTAATATGGATGAATGATGGATGACGTGTCACATGTCCAAAGTCCTACAGTGAGAGTTGGGTACAGGTCAGCTTCTCAAGAGAACGTTAACGAAGTCGTGTCTGATCGTTGAACGCTCATCCAGCAAAAATGTGTGTTCCCAGGAAACCTAATGAACTTAGACCGTTGATCATTTAAACTAGATGGACGGCATGGTCTATTGGAAGCAGCCAAGTCTTGACTCTTGAGCGGTGGAGGGCCATATGGTTGCCAATCCAGGCCATCCATTCCGATGTATTATTTTAGTTACAAGTCTCTAGTTTCAGGTTTAATTCCCAGGTCTTCACTGAAAGAAAAGATATTCTACATCCATCAACTCCCTCAATCAAAAAAATAAAAGGACAATTTCGTTTATATAGTGGGCCACCTAATGTCTGCTCCTGTAGATGAAAGAGCGGCACCCAGTTTCAATCTAATGGCAATCCTAGACGATCCTGTCACCGACTTAAAAGAAGAGATAATGGGATAACATCGTCTGATTTGTCGTATGTGATGGACCTAGTCATTCATTACACATTCCAATTTCGTCGTATAGAGATAGGTTGAAGGGCATTTCTGACATTTTACGAAATAAAAAATGACTGTTTCTTACCGTCTTAACCCCTGCCCCCGATCCTGCCATATCCATAGGGCACGAAATCCTCGCCGGCGGTTAGAAAAAACCGAAATATCAAATGCTCCTGCCTACTGCCACGTGTAATCCAAAGAAAGGATAAGCTAATTTTCCACCTTGTCTTTCATTCAAAAATAATATCTTTCCCGCTGCATTCATTTCTCATTTCATAAGTCCAAAATGGCAGCTTATCCTTTCCTTCCGACTTATTCCGTCGGAGATCAAATCAGCCCCCCACAAGATTGCCCCCACAACTTCTCATAACATATACCTGTTGTATATTGAGAGTATCTCCCGATGATGATATCAGAAATGATGATATCATCATCAAGAGATATTCCTAATACACAACGGAAATGTATTGTAAGACGTTGTAGGAAGCAATCTTGTGGGAGGCTGATTTAAACTCAATTCGTGGTGCCTAACTATAATAATTGGAAGCTTGTGCTATGACACTAAGAACATAAATATTCAATACTCAATTAAGTGCCTGTTCGACAAGTCTTTTCCAAAAGATATTTTACAAGATTTGATAATTAAAAAATAGGATGAGTTTTTGCAAATAGATCTTGAAAGACCAAAGACTGTTTAGTTGAAATATTTTTCATAAACCTTAGGAAAGACAATAAAAGTTAGAAGATCGTTTGGTAATGTGATGAAAATATGTGTTATGTATATACGAATGCATTGTGTGTGGGCTAACAAAACATGGGACCCACATACATTTTCTAAGATGGGCCCCACATACCATTGGTGGACATGTATGTGGGGCCCATGTACATTTCACAATGTGGGCCTAACATACCATTGGTGGACATGCACGTAGGGTCCATGTGGGGCCCATATACCCACATACATTTTTCAAAATGGGCCCCACATACCATTAGTGGACATGTATATGGGGTCCATGTGTGGACATGTATATGGAGCATGTACATCTTACAAGGTGGGCCCAACATACCGTTGGTGGACTATCCATGTAAGGTCTATGTGTGGACATGTATGCAGGGTCCCCATGTGTGGACATGCATGTAGGATCCACATACATTTTACAAGGTGGGCCCCATATGCCATTGGTGAACATGCATGTGGGTCCATGCGTGGACATATATGTGGGTCCACATACATTTTTCAAGGTAGACCCCACATACCATTGGTAATACATTTAAATAGTTTTTTGTTGAAAAATAATCCACTTTCTCCCAAACATGTGCATCGTGCCACACGTTCGAAGAAGATAAGGCAGTAAAAAATTATAAAAGCTTCATTTGAAGCTTCTTGAAAAAAGCCCAAATTTGGGCTGCTGGCGTCTTTTATGAACTGACGTTTTTTTACAATAAATCTTTTCATTACCAAAAGAAAAAACCTAGAATTTAGACTTTCAAATTTCTAAACAGCCCAAAACTCATGTAAAAAGACTTGCCAAACGTGGCCTAAGTTTTAGTTACCTTTTCTACGATTTTCTGTATTGTATTTTTAAGTAGGAGAGGTGCTACGGCAAAGGGTCGTCAAGTCACCCTCCACACTAACACTATATATAGAAACTTCAATGGAATCTTAATTAAAATATTAAGATAGTATCCATCATAAAATAGAAATATTTAACACAGACGTGTATATTTAAAACAGGTTGCGAGTATATAACCAGAACAAAAGTATTAATTAAAATATAAATTAAAACCATGGCTACAACCCACAGTATAAAATATTAATGAGGAATGCTAATCATATTGTCCCCGGTGGTATTAGATATCTACTCTCATGACTGCACGTTTCTGAAAATGTCCAAATCAATAATGTTAATATTTTCTTACATGGTGGTGGCTTTGTAATTACGGCGCCTTTCTTGTACACGTATAAAAGATCACTTGCATTTGCATATTGAAGTTTTGGCCACATGTAAAAGATACTTGTGTTAATTACAGCGCCTTAAGGCAAGGCCCATATTAATCTTGATTCTTGATGAAAAGATCACTTGCATATTGAGGTTGGAAACATGATGTGGCTGAGAAATGAGGACAAGAGAAGGGATCTAACAGGTCATTCATTACCAATAAAACTAAAAAAAAAATATTGACTTAAACTGAAATGAAGTAGGTCATAGGTGACGAGATGAAGGCAGGTAACAGATTAGTCTTAGATCATAGGTGAAGTCGGGTAACAGATTAGTCAAGAAGGATGTAAACATTATCTTAAGAAACCCGTGATTAGATCCAAGGTTCAAAGTATTAACATGTATCGGCCCCTATTATTTAATATGTATCGTGCCGATGATTTTTTGATATACTCTTATCGGATTAACCACTGGTTCAGAGAATAGTCGGACCTTAAATCAGCCTCTCTAAACCAATTTAAAAAAATAAGTGAAACATAAAAAAAAAACACAGATACGGACTATCAATATTTAGAACCTTGGTTAGATCTCTACTATTATACCAATTACTGATTTACTAGTATGCTTTAAGGAGGCCTCCTATTGGAACCATTTATCCTTAGCCATATAGCAAGGGTGGTTGCTCCTTAGACAATGCAAAAGCCAACTTTCTTTCTTGGGTGGGGCTGGGGGCGGGAGGGAGTGGTGAGTGGTCAATCTGGAAGGGAGGGAAGAAAAGACAAGCTAAAAGGTTCGTCACAGGGGAGATAGGTTGATTGGAAGGAGGTGTTTAGAATTTACATAATATCTAGTAAGTGTTGATAGTTGTTCTTGTCAGCTACATCAAATCCACTCGACATATGACATAGTGGAATGTTGACAAGTAATTGCTTTGTATTCACTCATATCTCATCCATAAAACAGATTCTTTGGGTGTCACCCAGATTCTTTGGAGGGGATATAGAAGCACTGTACATGCATCAACCTAATTAAATTTGAATCATGCATGTACATGCTCCTAAAGACTCCTCCAAAGAATCCGATTGACATCCAAACTTTGTATGAATGCTTCTTTCTAAGGGTGTCAATGGATCGGTTTCGGATTGAATCCATCCAAACCAAAATTAATTTGGATGAGTTGGACGGACCAACAAGACATTGAATTGGACCATTCCAGGTTTAATGGTCCAAAGCATTTATTGAATTAGATTGGACCTAGTCCATCCATAATAAATTTATATTGGACTGGGTTGGATTTAGATAATAACTAACATTGATAAAAGATAAGAATATAGGTGTCCATGGACGAGGTTTGGGTTTGAATTAATCTAAATTAAAACAAATTTAAAGTTTGAACAGTCCAAACATTGTATTAGACCGGTCCAAAATATTCATTGGATTGGATTGGACCCGGTCCATTTGTAATGGACTCACATTGGACTGGACTGGATTGGACCAAATCCAGTCCAATTGACACCCCTACTTCTAAGAGCACTTACGGCTTATGACAAGTATTTGTGCAGGATTTCTCTGAAGAAGATATCTCAATGTGCCCATGATTTCTATTTGGAAACCCCATTATTTTCAATTCTGATAACACCAAACCCTAATTTCAAGTGGATCAGATTGTTGAGAACTTTTTTTTCCAAAAATCCTTGGTTTGTTCAAGTGCCCCAAGGAACATTGAGCAATAATTTTTTGAAAAGAACAACCAAGGATTCATGATGCATAATTCACAAATTAGGCTTTTACAAGACCTAAATAAAATTATAGACTCAAATTCTATCACCATCATAATAAGATAATAACCCAAAAGAGATGGGCATTAGCGTTAAGACAAAACAAGCTCGGAAACTTCTTACTTCAACACTTCAAGCAATAATTAAAGTGGTGGCCCAAAATGAGCTAGCAACTTATTATATTTCATGGTAGCAAGTTTTTCTTGAGGTTCAGTTTGGAAAGAGTACAAATAAAAATATGTACAATGTAAATACATACAAAATATAAGGCTCCATTTGGAAGGAGTACAAATACAAATATATACTGTGCAAATACATACAAAATATAAGGTTTTGCGCTCTACATATTTGTATTTGTACTCCTTCCAAACTGAGCCTAAAGTTTTGCACTCTACAAATTTGTATTTGTAGGTTCATAGTCTCTGTTAGCTTGCAATGCAAATTTCATTTACATCGGTATGAATGGTTGAGTGTAAATGGGCCAAGTGAAAATTCTGGTTTACTATTGTTCCATCTTTCATTTGTTTATTTGACTCAATTTGGAAAGAATACAAATACAAATATGTACAGTAAAAATATATATAAAATAATACAAAATACAAGGTTTTACACTCTACATATTTGTATTTATACTCCTTCCAAACTGAGCCTTTAAGAGGAAAATTGGAAGCAAATTATGTGGTCCAAACTTCACTTTACATGAGAAAATAAAAGCAGAAAGGTGTTTGTTTGGAAGGGAAAAACGGTTCAATTTCTAGGTTGGATTTTAAAACACTGTTTCAAGTTATAATATAACCTATTAGCGTCGAGACCTCCTTGATTTGCTTTGAGAGAGAGTTTCAATCAGTGTAAAGAGAAGGCTTCCTGACTGTTCTCCTAGCTGTCAATAAGTATGTTTTATGCGGAATCAGGATTCAGGATGAATGATTTACCGTGTACACACGGGTCACCTGGTTGGTCTAACAAACGACATATTTTTGAATCTCCCAATTCCATCCTGGCTGGATACAGCAGGACTTAGGGCCTGTATGATTCATGGGAATAGAGGTCTGGAATCTGAATGGAATGACTCTTTGGTTGGGCAGAATTGGAATCCCATTCCCAATCCTGGTGGAATGGCATTCCCCATTTTAGGGAATGGCCATTCCCTCCCCCTCCCTTGGAAATGAAATCCCATTCCAGTTGATTCTAATTTCCATTTCTATTCCTGTCTGAACCAAACAGATTATGGGAATAAAGCATTCCGATTTCAATTACAAAGGATTTTGATTCCGATTCTGACTACGAACCAAATGGACCCTTATTTTATATCCACAGATATCAGATCTGAGACATAATGCTGCATTGGACAACATAAATGGTTGCAAAGAAAAGGATAAGGACCAAACATGTGATGCTATCATAATAAAAATAAAACAAAACATCTCTAGATCAATGCTGCCACTATTTCCAAATGATAACAGTTTTACCTGTAAGGTGTCTCTCCAACTTTTTTTGACCATATCCACCACCACAACCATGCTGCTGCTTCTGCTTGACAGGAAATTGGAAAACCAAGACCCTGTCCTTGTTTCTGAACTCAGAAAATTGTGCAAAGAGGATAGAAATCTATAATCAAGATCAATCTGGATACCTACATCCAAGAACCTGAGCTAAGTAATTTGATGAAACAAACAGCACGTTGGTACTGTTATATTAAATATATTGCTAAAAATAATGAGCAAGAGAGTGAGATACTAATATCAACCTTGAGGACTGCCAAGCATGAGAATGAGGGTTCAAGTCTCAGAGAGGCCACTCTGTGGAAAAAATGCCAAAGGTTAGGCCTGTATCCAGATCACCCTTCCCAAAACCCCTCATAGCTGGGACCAACATTGGGTAATGGCCTTTAAAACTAATCGGCACAGAGATGCCAAATTGGTAAACCACAAAAAGTATGGCAATCTGACATAAGATAAGATCATTGACATATAAATTCGGGTACATAGTTTTGTGACTTAAAAAGCATTGGATGAGACAAATTAGAGTGCAAAATAAAAATAAGATTAATTCATATTTTGAAAAAAGAAGAAAAATAATATAATAAAATGATAAGAACACATATCAACAGAGAAACCAACAACAAAATCCCAGGTAAAACGTATGAAATGATGGTCCTATTTCTCTTCAGTTTATTATTGGATTGCTGGGCAAAAGATTCCAGTTAAATACCATGCCATGCATTTGCTGTTTGTTGTTTTAAACTCTGCCCGTCTGCCATGAACCTAGATGGTCTGGCAGAAAAATGGACAATAACCACCTTTACTAAATTAGTTTTCAAAAAAAAAAAAGAAAAAGAAAAAGAAAAAGGTATATTTTTCACTTGAGTTATTGTTATACTTTCTTCCAACAATATTTCACACAGTGATCCTCCCAGTCTTTTTCAGTGATAATGCAAACTAGTTAGTAACCACAGAACAAGATAAACACGAAAACATTGTTGGAGAAGAAAAAAAATAAAATATGCAGCAGGTCATATAAAAGAAAAGAAAAATTATAGATTAGTAATGTTGAAACTTTCTCTTTCTGCTTTTGGCTATGACATCGTATATGTTTGTTGTATATCACAATTCACAAACTGTTTTATAGATGAAAGTTAATATTAAAGTATATCAAAATACACTAAAATGTTCACATTGAAAATAAAACTGTTGGTTGGACCAGCACTCACCCTTACAAACTCAATTTTCTTAAAATAAACCGAATGAAATTAAATAATTATTGATAATCGGGATGCTCAACGGAACCAATTAGAGGAGGTTCAGGCCCCCAGTCTGGAATCAGCTCGATTGTGACTACCTCGTGTGGTTTGGGTTTAGTGCAATGCTAAATGCATACATATCCCAGGAAGTGACCTGGAAAATTGGAAATAAAAAGGTGTTTTGGCACATCCTAAGGGAAGCATCAAAATCACCAAATTGAAAAAAAAAGACAAAAATGAAAATAAAATCCAGGTTTAGATCAAAATGATAATTAACAACTATGAAGAAGTTAAAGTTAGTATCTGAAGCACTTAAGCATTGCAATCATGCAGCAGAATGTTATTGACAAAGGTTGCAACGTTAAAGAACTAAAGTAAATGCACTTATCTTGACATCTTTTGTTTTGTAAGTAACGAGCTCAACTGTGCTCCAAATGACTAGAATGCAGAAGCAGGTGAAAGTAAACCAACACAGGAATGTAATAATAAACAGAAAACAATGCAACAAACTTATGTTATTTCTTCCTTGCAAGAATCAATAGATTTTTCTCTTTCTTTTGGCCATAATTGTTCAAGTGTTTTCTTCAGATCAAGTTCTTTCTCAATACAGAAAGTGCAGTACTACCCTATTCTTACCCAGTTAATTTGTCATGGCCAATCTACTATTGGAAATGCAATCAATAAACTCTGAATGTTGTTAAAAAAGTAAAGGGCCTTTATGTCGATGAAGCTCTCGTAACCTAATTTATAGAAGCTGGCATTACATTCTCAATGAGAGCTCGGACAGACAACACATAATAACTGAAGAATCTGAGATGAAAATACCAATATTAGTTCTCATTGTATTCTAGAGGATGCACTCATGAACTTCTTTATTTACTGTATCAATCAAATAGGAACAGCCAAACAGGGAGAGGCGCTTCAAGTATCAAATATACACCCAGAGTTCAAAAAACAACAAATGCGAAGATAAAACATCATCATATACATATCTTAATCGTTACCAACGCTAAACCCCAAAAGCTTTGCAATCTGGAATGCACACGGTCAGAAGAAATCCAAGGACATAGCACGGTAACATTGGACCATCAAGATCAACTAAACAAACATGATATTAAAATTTACATCAATCAAACCGCGAATCCATTCACAAGAAAATATCAATCAAACAGGGCGAGTTTATGTTTCGACCAATAAGATCAACTAAACAAACATGATACTAAAATTTACATCAATCAAACTACGAATCCGTTCACAAGAAACTATCGCTCAAACAGAGCGAGTTTAAGTTTCAATGGCGAGAAAGGGATCACAAGGAATGGAATTTTGACGAAATAAGAATTTTACAAACAGAGATCGCGGAAACAAACCTGACGAGATTAGATTGCTAAACCTCGAAGCGTCATTCGAAGAAGACTTCCGCCAACAGGATGACGAGATAGAAAACTAGGGCAAAAGCGGATGGAATCGTAACGCCTCGAATCGCCATATTTGGCGCCCTTGTCACTGGTAGTGATAGTGAATAGTGATACAGGTGATAACAATGCCGGCTAACAGTTTACATAGGCCGAGGCACGGTGGCAAGCAAAAGGAATGCCGAGTGCGATGGAGTCATGGAGATGCTAAACCGCACGTGAGTAATATATGCCATCCCAGGATCCAGACAGCCAGTTTGAGGCTTGTCAGTGGCTCGGGCCAACCTGACACCTCCATTCGAACCGACTCTTTATACCAGGGGCCGGAACTGCATCTTGAGGTCCGATATAAGGCCAACTAATAACTGGAAACTGGGTTACTTCCGCCTCAAACGATAGGGCCGCGTTCACTTTTGGGTAAGTCATTTGTTCGGAAGTGTTTTTTCGTAAAGATTTAGGTAAATGCATTTATTTATATATTTTTATTTTTTTATACAAATAAGGTAATGATCATTTTAATCATAAAAATTTGTTATTAAAATGATTATTTTTATTTCATTTAAGTATTACTAATTTTTTTTGTATGAGAAATTCATTTATCCACTTAGTAGATGAGAACTTTTCTCTCCCACGAAAATAAATTTTCCTTGATTCCCACATAAATATGAAAAAAGAACATAAGTTTTTTGGTAAATAAGAATCAAAATTTCCCTCTCAAAATCCGAAAAAAGAATGTGCCTAATTCTATATGGTATAGATTGGGACTTGAGTCCAACGTGTGTGTTAAATAATAAAAGTGTAAATTGCATATTAGTGCCTGTGATTTAGGGTTAATCTCATTTTAGTACCCAAAATTTAAAGTATATCATTGCTTTACTTGAATTCCCCAAAACTGTAAATTTAGTATTCACCATTATTTGGATCACATGAATGTACGACCCAAATTTTTTAAAAAATATCAAAGCAACCATTTTTAAGATTTTTTAGACCATTTTATTTTGATTGTCTTCCCTGACGACATCAAGAATTATTGTCTTCTCCAACAATAGCAGCGCTCTATACCCCCCTTTGTTATGGATTGAATAACCAAAAAGAGAATTACAACAATGGCAATCTAAATCCCTCTTCTATGGCAACAAAGTTGTCTTCTCCGAAGACATTTTTCCGTGTAGCTTCTCTAGCCGAAAGCATTGGTTCTTTCGATATAAGGGTTATGGCATAAAGTGAACAATTGTGCCAAATCACAATGAAAAGGGATTTAAGTATGTCTACTTTGGCCATTTCAAAATTATGCTTCTCCTACCTATTAAAAATCAAAGGGTATTGGTGTCTTTTCATAATCATCTAATGTCGATTAACGATTTTGAACTAAAATGGCAAATTCCAATAGTTCAAGTACTTTAGTGGCATGTTTTAAAGTTTAAGTACTAAAGAGAGACTAGCCCTAAGTACAAGATACTATCCCTCACCCAACCCGATTCTATATTGGGTTAGCATTTTCCTTCATTAACCCATTCTATTTGGGAAACCTAAGGTCATGTTTGGTTTAACTTTCATTCTTATTAATTCTTTCCAACAATAAAATTCTAGAACGAACAAAAATATGTAGAAATAAGTGATTTTTTTGTGGCACTAATGAGAATAAATTTTGACTCATTTAGTTGCAAATTTCATTTCTATGAAGGGCCCATTTGGTTCATGGGAATAGGTGTGGTCATTTCAATTTCAACTATTTGGTTGGGTAGAATCGGAATCCCATTGCCATTCTTGCTGGTATGACATTCACTAAAAAAACTTTTACATTTGGTTGCATAGAGAAAAAAATTTAAAGGAAGCAATTAGCATCTATTTGAAACTAATTAAAAGGGAACTAGTTTGTTGAATTGAATAGACAATTGTGAAAATAAAGAAAATAGCTTTGAACTTCAAAATAGAAATGGAATTTAAAATTTGTAAAATTAAAAATAAAATATAGACATCTTTTAGAGAAAAGATTGGTGCTTAGTCACATTTACAGAGAAGCTAATATGGTGGCGAAGCTTGGTCACTCAAGCAATAGAGTTGATTCAGTTAATCAAATTAGACATCTCTTAGAGAAGATTAATCTTGAGGATTTGTCGGGGTGCACCACCCCAAGGTGTTGTTACTTGTTAGTACTCAGACTATGTTTACAAAAAAATAAAAAATATAAAATATAAAATAATAGCATGAAAAAAATATAAAATATTTAACAATTTCATTAAATTGCCAATAGTATATTGATTACTGATAATATATTAAGAAAGTCATAAAATATAATAAAACATCATAAAATCATGTATCATATTGCCCATTTAAAATTTTCAAAGAAGCTTTGTGTCAGTGGCCATAAACTGTTAGCCTAGGTCTCAAAAACCGTAGGCGTAGATTTTTACCGATGGATGGCCGATGGATGATTAATATTCGTTGGTTTAAGTAGTTTTTGTAGACTTAGGCTAGTGGTTTAAGACTGCTAACTTAGAGCTTTTTAAAAGAATGGGAATGAGCAATATGAGACTATTATTTTTCATGCAACAAATTAGCTAAATTTTTATGCCATGGATTCATTTTTTTTTTTAAATGAATGAATCCATCACAAGAATTTTATAACCAAACATTTTCATGTAGTTCGTTCTTGTCCATAAGAAGTAAGAATTGAAAGAATAAAGCCCCAAACCAAACATGGTCTAATTTGCACTCCTAATCCAAGCACCAGTATAGAGTGTCAAAAAGTGATCCAAGTTTATTTATATACAAACTGAGATCATACTATATACTATCAAGTAGACCTGTTCATGGGCCGGGCCGGGCTTTTACTCTTCATGAATAGAAATTTGTTAGGTCCGAGCCCGAGCCCGGCCCGACCAACGGGCCTACAACTTGGGCCCGAGTCCGAAGCCCGACGATGACTGTGTTCGCTGGAGCTGAGTTTGTGGTGATTGTGAGCTGCGATTTTAATAGTGAAAAGTGTGTTAGTTCGCGTTTGAGAGAGAGAGAACTCATCACCACCGCTGGTGCCTATATTTGTCATCTTGCCGGTGTCTGAGATTTGAAAGATAAGTGAGAAGAAAAACGAGAGAGATCGAGAGAGAGAGAAGGAGAGAACTCACCGTCGGAGTTGTTGCGCCGATGAATGTTTGCCGCCTCGCCGATTGTGTGGCTGCCTGAGAGTGTGAGGGCTGAGGAGGATGTAAAGACTGAAGAGAAGAGAGGTTCTGCTTAGGGAGTTAGGGTTTTTTAAGTTCAATCTATAGGTCGGGCCGTCTATTTTGGCAAATCCTGAGCCCAGTTCGAATTTATTGCGGACCAAGCTTTTTGGCCTGGGGTTAAGCCCGTAGGCTCTTTTGCGTGTTCAAACCCATCCGGGGGCCAAGCCGGCCCATCGGACCACCCGACCCATGAACAGGTCTACTATCATGTAGGGTGGTCCTTTGGTGGGTTGGATTTGGGTTGAGCTTTAATCCATACATCAAATCAATAAATCCTTGAGAATCCTAGCCCACTCATTTCAACCCATTAAATTTGTTCTTTGCCAAGATTCACAGAGTTATAGCAGTCCAGATCAGATAGACATACACGGTAAGCATGCCAGCATGCCGAGTAAACACTCATGATTTATTTTTGTACCTGTCCCATAAAATACCCTAAGCCTATACTTGGAAGATTAAAAAAGGACAAATTTTTAAACACTTCAAAGGTTAAATTAATTGCTGAAACATCCCTTGAAGTTTTTGACCATTGCTTAAATCTTCTCTAAAGTTTGCTAATTGCAATCATCTTCCCTGAACTTTTTGACACAGTTGCAAATAGACCCCTTTGTTAGAATCCTTTAACATGAGGCATGAAAAGTGTTCAGAATACCCATGTGGTTACCATTAAGGTTGATTTCTACATAAAAAAAAAATTTTTTTGACCAACAAAACAAAGAGAGTTTAAAATTGCGACTTTACATTAAAGCGATTAGTATGAAGGGAAAATTTGGAAAAGAGATTGAAAGGGTTTGAGGTAACCATTGATATCAAAAAAAAAAATGAAAGATAAACATTTTAATAAAAAATTACAGTATGAGTATTTTAGTCAAGTTCATGCCTCTTATTAGAGAATTCCTACAAAAGAGTCTAATTGCAAATATGTCAAAAAGTTCAGAGGAAATAATTATAGTTACCAACCTTCAAGAAAAAATTCAGCAAGAAACTTCACCGTAAGATTCAACAATTTACCCAAATAATCATTAAGGTTATGTTTGATTTGAAGAAAAATGTAGGGATCCCTTGCTTTTCATACCTGTTACTTCAAGCCAAACATAGCCTAAATGTTCACCGAGTGTGCCTACTAGATCCGAACTCGGGCTATATATAGTAGACTGTTACGTGGGATCCACAACAAATTGTCTTAGGATATTATTTTATAAAATGAGTATTAATTGGCAAATGGGACCTATAAGAGGTTTAGGCACTTTGTTACGTCCCCACAAAATTTAGATTATAATTTTAGGATAAATTACTGATATATATATATATATATATATATATATATATATATATATATATGGAAACTTCTAACTTTAGATTTACATTTGTGAATTTAAGGTAGCACCATTTTTCTTTTCATCTTTACAAATAATAGGAATTGAAATTGAAATGCAACGTTTTAAAAAAATGATCGGGAAATGGAATTGTTTTGATCACCGGTTTTTGGGTTAATTGTTCGATCATCTGGTTCGAACGAACGGTCTGTTCTAACAGTAAAATAAAAAAAAAATTAAAAAATTAAAAAATAGTAAAAAACTGTTGAACGGGTCGATGGTTTAATCGCCTGGGTCAACTGTTTGTTGACTTTTTCAACATTTTTTTACCAGATTCCGGGTTTGGGGCAAAACGGAACCGGTTGCCTAGACGGTTCCCGGGCCGAATGGTCCGACCGTCCGGGTCAACAGCAGTTCGAAAAACATTGTTGAAATGAAGCACTATCATCATACAAAGCCCAATTAACACTAAAGGTGTCAATGGACAGGTTTTGGGTTGGACCCCATCCAATTCAAAATCAACTTGGACAGATCAACAAGACATGTTGGGTCGGATCAACTCGTCTGTAACAAATTTATATTTGGATTGGGTTGGATTAAGCCAATATCTGATCAATTGATATAGGTTTGGATTGAAACCAATCTAAATCAAAATAAATTTGAACAAATTAAATGGTCCAGACATTGAATTGGACCGGTTCAAATTGGTCCAAAATAGTCATTAGATTGGATTGGACCTAGTCCATTTATAATGGACTCACATTGGACTGGATCATATTGGACCAAATCCAGTCCAATTGACACCCCTAATTTAACACAAATTAACTGATAGTCCCGATGCTCTGATTATTTGTAATGCAAATCTAAATTAGATATAAAATTTGCACCTTCTCTGCTTTGCATCCATTTGTTTGTATTTATTGACAATGCAAATTTTGTATTTTAAAAATTGATGTAAAATTTACACTTTCACCTACCTCAATTCTCTCTGATTTAAAGCGGGGATTATTTCATATAGCTTCTTGCCTCTCTCCCAAACAAATAATCTTTACATAAATATTTTTTCTTGAAACATTAATATTCTAGGATTTCTATGAATAACTTTTCCTTGAATATACGAATTACTAGATACAATAGTAAGAATTTTAGATTTATAAATAATTAAATGGCTTAAATATTGATTATTGAAATTATTTTGGGTTTCTAATTGGTTAAAGTTTCCATAAAAATTACCCTTTTACTTATTTTATGAAATTTTGTTGAAAAAATGTTTACAACTTTTCCTTTCCCACTTAATTTATGAGGAACCAAATACATCATTAACTACATTTTTCATTTCCTCAATATTATGGAATCCAGTTAACCAGAATTAATGTTAACCACTCGATCACGATAAATTTGAGTAGATATTACATTTCCTTTTCTTACCAGTAGTTCGATGAGCCATTGGTGCAATAAAAATATTATATTATAACATTACAAAAAATGAATATTTCATATATTTTCATGAAATGGAAACCAAATTTGAAACTCTTGGTCAAATAATAGGTCCTTTCAGTAAATAATCATCATGACATAAATAAATCATAATATTATTTATTGGAGGCTGATATTGCTACTAAGAAGAAGACTTTAAGCAAATCCACTAATTATTTTGTGTGAAGATTATACACAACTTCCTGTCCTTGCATAAGTTAGATTTATTTAATTTGTATTGTTATGACGAGGTTATTTATTGTATTTTTTTCTCCTTGGGTTGGTTTGAGATGGTGGGGTTGTGTACTATTTTGTAGAGTTTTAGGGTACATGATAGAATTCGGTGCTCACAATACCGTGATTAATATCTAATATTGTATTTATGGCCACTTGTAATTGCGCATTAGGAATATCTTTCTATAAATATAAAAATATGAGTTCACATCTCTGCCCCACAACACCCCACGGCACATCCCCGCCATGTCTTGGGAACATCTCCCGATGATAATATCAGAACTTATGATATCATCATCGGGAGATGTTCTCAATACATGTGCTGTGGTGCATTGTGGGGCGGAGATGTGAACTCTAAAAATATTACTTAGAATTAAAATATGGTAGCAGCAATTTTGACAAAATTCGGCAACCATTCCCATAGGTAGTTTGTAAAATTGTAGCTACCATCTTTTGATTCTAAGTAATATTTTTATATTTTAATTCACAAACAGAAATAGGTAGCTAGTTTTTTGGGTTTGGGATAGCGAGGTTTTGCTTCAAGTGCTTATTTTCATTTATCCCAATTTTTTTTTTTATTAGAATTGGAATTTTATGTTTTTGACAAACATAAACAGTTGAATTTTAATCATCATCGGTCGAATATTTGATTATTCACTCGAATTCAAATTCAGTTACTGATTTTAAATATTCAACGGATATTGAATTGAATTCGAATCCTTATTTGTGCAATTGAATTCAAATTCGGATATATCTTGATTCATTTCAAATTCGACCCATTTACACCCCTACTCAATATTTGTGACCTAAAACAGTTTTCAATTTGACCTTTGATATTTGAGTAAGAAGAAGAAAAGGGGACTTCAATAACATTAGCATATATATATGACAATGATAACATATGGTCCCTAATGAACACAAACCATACATATGAATGATTAATGGATCAAACTTGGTCTATCCTAATCTTACAAGATGACCAAGTTTGCTCCATTACAACATGATTGTTTCTTCACAGAGGTTTGACCATCATAGAGTGAGCTAAAGAGATGAAATTCCTAGTGGAACAATGCTAAGACCATGCAACATAAAAAAGTGCCTTATCTCCCTTATTTTGATATATATAAATGAGCTCTAAAAAATAAAATGTAGAAAACACATTTCTTTTCATGTGCCACCACCGAAGTTAGGAGGAGGTGGCCAAACACCACTTCCATCATTGGTAACATAGGAAGTGCACGAAAGGGGAACAAGGCAGAGCCCTCTGCTTCTGAGATCTCGCTTTGGTTCCTCGTTCCTTTCTCCATCACCTGAACCCTGTTGTTGTTAGCCCAAAAAAACAAAAGTGAATCATTAGAATTCAAAACTACTTTCGCAACCCTAATCATTTTTCATTCTCTCTCTGTAGAGTTTTGGGATGCCGATTAGACCAGCATTCAAAAGAAGCTAGCGTATATGGACCTTGAGTGGCATGGTCATCCACAAGCAACCTAAGAAACATCAATGGACAGTGGTTAATGGGTCATATTCATAATGGGCAAATATCATTATTGAATATTGACCCATTTAACTTGATTACCATATATAACTAAATTCGTTCTATTAATCTCCTAGCTATCTACTACTATCTATGATACTTACATTGCTCTAATCATGGTCATATGCTGGGGGATGGACATTTCCCCTACATGCTAAGGGTTTCTTGGCAAGAAGTATGTCAGCTCTGTTATACTTTAAGGTTGTGTTTGGATAAGTTTCAGAATAGTGCTTTTAAAACCCAAAATCACTATCTAATTCTATGTTTTGTGATTTTGGGTTTAAAAGTCTCTGAGTTAGTGGGTTTCGTGTTATTATGGGGGCGTTTTGCAATGTGAATGGTTTTTCTTATTGCTGATTCTGAAAGCAAGTCAAAACAAATCTTGTTTGAAAATAGATTGTTTCTTAAAACAAAAACACAAGAAACATGTTTTTGGTTGTACATGTGTTTTTTGTTTTCAAAACTAAAACTAAAATCATGTTCTTGGATCTAGTTTCAAAACCATGTTTTCATTTGATTGTTCAACATCATGTCCCATAAATCAAATAATTTCTATACTCGAAAATTTGTTTTTGTTTTAAATAACAATATTTTATTGGCTTATTAAAAACATGTATTGTTTTTTTGAAATAAAATCAACTTGTTTTTCCTTTGAAAACAAAAACAAAACAAATGTTTTTGTTTTTTATCTGATGTGATAGTTCCAAAAACAAATGAAAACAAAAACATTCATACTGCAAAAAAAAAAAGAGATTTGCTCCTCCTAGAGTGCGCCTCACAGGCATATCCCACCATCTATTGGGAACATATCCCATGAATAATAACACGTATGCATGAGAGATGTTCCTGATAAATGATTGAGATGTGTTATGAGGTTGGAATGAGGAGCAGATCTGGACTTAATGCCCCTATATTATCTAAATGAACCATTAGCAAATGGTCGCAAAACGCTTTTTGGTTCATTTTTTCTTTCTAACAGTCAAAGTTAAAAGCAAAAACTAATTCAAACATGGCCTTATTCTACACATAATGTTAAGTGATGTATAGTCCTCTTACCCCTTGCATTGTTCTACAAGTCTTGCTTCGGGATGACTTCATATAAGGCACACTTAGCGTCTGCAAACATTCATGTAAGAGTTAATATTCAAAAAGAATCAACACTTCATGGCATCAAAAGAAATAATTATAATAATAATAATAATAATAATAATAATCACAACTCAAAGCATATTAAGTGCCCGTTTGGGAGGGTTTTCATGCAATGACTTCTACCGTTACATGTACTGACAAACCTGAAACCTCCTGAAATGTATTTAGTTAAAATCCAAAAAGTCGAGAATAGGCTTATAGAGGCTGCAAAATTGACTTTATGTTAAAGCTATCTGAGATAGCTTCTTTGAAGTGGCTCGGTGAATACAGCTCAATCAACGCAAAATACTCCCAAACAGTCTCTTATATAGTGCAGATCCTTCTCTTTGCCACATTAAATGAAAAAAAAAAAACATTTTGCTCATTTCTCTACTTAGCCCTGTAAATGGAGATTCCGGATTAACTGAACACTTAAGCCATGCAGATGGCTGAACTAATAATATTGCTCCACACCAATGATAAAATACATAAAACCCCACATAAGAGGTTGAATGGTTCTGAGCCCCATGTATTTTACAGACTGATGTGGAGTATTAATATTGGTTCCATGCTCAACACTAATCCTATCTCTTAAATGGAAGTATTAACATTCTGATTCCCAGTTATAGAATCTCCATGGGCCATTTGCCAATTTTATTTTCAGACCATTTGTCCAATAAATGGAAAGAGAGCATAACGAATCAGATGGACAGATACTTTGTCAACCCATTGATTTGAAGATTCTCTTTCCTTTTTTTGCAGATCTGTTATGCGTTATAAGGTAGCCCATGGGAATCCAAAGGTTGATGCAAGGTTCATACTCGTGTCCAGCACGATTCAAGGGGACATGCTCAACCGTCCTTGTCTGGATGTGAGCATTTCGAGCTTGTCGATTCTCTGCAATATTGCAGTTATAATACTAATATATAAATATATATTTTTTTTCTTTTCCAAAGCAAGAAAACAAGAAAGAATGTCCCGAGGAAAGTACCTCAACCTGGTCTTGGAGAAATTTAATATACCCAATAGCCTCCATTAGTACCGACGCCGTGTCCGTCTGCAAGTTCCACATTCCCCAGTTTTGTTTTATATTAGCCAATAGCCACCCACCTCTCCAGATAGAAAAAAGAAAAGAAATAAAAAGGATGAAGAAATTTATTTTCAAAATTTTCATATCCTTCTCCTTGTCAACATAATAATAATAATAACAATTTTATAGCATAAAAGTATGTTTGGCTGTATAAATACCCCAAAAATCACTGTATGCTGTGATTGTCACACATTAAGACTGTAAATTTTAGTTTCACTTTCCAGATGGACTAATTAGTACAATAATATTGTAATTTAAATAATACCTTTCTTAAAATAAATTGTAACTTGAATTAAAAACGAATACTAATACACCGATCGATATAACATTATTTAACCAGTAGACGATGAAATATTAGCAGAAAATAGCAACAGTTTGGTAACGAAAGATGTTGTTATTTCTAATGACAGTTTATAAACTAAATGTAATTATCAGCAGCAGCAGCTAGCAGCTTCCATGGCTATGCTCAGCATTTGATCAAAGGATGCTGGGTGGGTACTGAAACATGTTGCTGCTAATAAAAATAGACCTTCTACCAAAAAGAAAAAAAAAGAGTAAAAATATACCTAGTTATCGTTAAAATATATTATTTATACATTTTTATAATTCTGTTATCATCTTTGTTATGTGGATGATTATGAGGAGAAAGAGTAGGAAGAAGAAGAAGAACCTTGCCGAAAGGTGACACCAACTGCTGGAGAGCTGCAATTCTATCCCCTAGTTTCTCCTTTCTAACCTGCAGGTTGAGTATCATATCAACACAAATAAACAACTATCAAACATCACGAAAGGATATTTATGTTTCCCCATTTTCACAACCCATTATCTTATGTGACTAATTTTTACTTAAATATTCGCACCTTGAAGGGGGGAAACGATGAGCGCGACTCAAACCGAGGTTTCTTGGTTGCTGCTTGAGATAGCTTCGCGTCTGCTAAACTGCTTTGCCTCTTTGTGTCTGTAACTCCATTTGAGAAGGATGATACCTTTGAAATGAAAAGAGAAAAGGTGAACTTGTTATGGATAAAGGTATAATGCCCATCGAACTCAATATCTAAAAGAAGATATATATATAGATAGATTTTCCAAAAGGAGTATGATAAATGCATAAATAAAGCTGTAGAAAGATATGTAATCCTTGTGCAGAAGTAGAACGAAAGCAAAATAGGATAAAAGAGGGGAAAAAAAGAAAAAAAGGAAGAAAAGAAAAGAAAAGGGTGCTTGCTTTACGGTGTAATAAGGTTGAAATTGCAATGCAGCAATACGATTTAAAATATCATACGCTGATATGTTTGCGTGTTTATCGCAAAATAAAACTTAACTTCGTTTTAGCATTTAAATAATATTAAGAACAACAACAGAAGAAGAAGAAGAAGAAGATACGCACTTTATTGGGACTATATGGTGACTTATGACTGGATTGCTGCAGCTGGTCAAGACCGAAAGAAAGACTGTCTCTAAGCATGCCGAGATTACCATGCGAGGGCTGGCTAAAACTTCCAGTATATCTTGTAGAAGTCAGGAGATCCAAAGCTTGCAAATTCATTCCAAAGGAACTCGAAAATGGAGAAGAAGATGAGTTCTTGTTCGAGATGTTAGTAGTCGGAAATATCCGGCTGAAGCTCGCTGCACTGGATGTAGGTATACCTCCCAAACTAGCACAACTCTGAGCATCAGAGTACAACTCTTCTTCTGAATGCTGGAGTGCGTTGATTCTACCAGAAGACAAGGTTCTGAGCAAGATCTTCTCACTCAGATCATGAAGATGTTGTTGTTGCTGCTCATTTTTAACGTAGCTCGTAGACGGTAAATGGAACTCGTCCAGATTTGTAACTGTTTCGCTAAATTTAGGAAAAGAATCCGATAATTCCTCCTTGATTTTTGCAAGGTGTAGTTGATTGGCTGAATTGTTGGTGAAACTCCCTGCATTACCAGTCCAGTGGAAACCCATGTCCTGGATCATGGAACTATTGAGAGGAGGAGAAATCAGAATGTCATTGTTTTGCCTTAGATCCCTTGAGTTTGAGAAAACCCCACTAACATTTTGATTGAAACTACCATCGTTCCTGCATATATAACCAAATCATCACATAAAATAATTGAATTCTAGGAAGAAAAATCTTAAAACACCATTAATTATAAAATAAAAAAATAAAACCCATGAAAAGCTTCAAGCCCTAATGAAATAGGAAAACAAGAAGCTTTTAAGTTTTAGCATTAAGTCCCTATATGAAATCGTTTATTTGTAAATCACCAATTAAATTAATAAGTTCTTCATCAGAGGAAAGTTTTGTTAGTGTGAATAATTATCCCGGCCGGACTCTACTCAAAACCCTAGGAAAATAAACCATGCGCAGCTTTTGACAAACTGATTGATGGTTTTGAATATGATCAAGTCAAAGTCCAAAGGGAAAAGAAAAGCAAGTGATTCCAAATTCAAAAGACTATTCCTAATGGCGTAATAAGTATATATAGAATTGATTGTTATTCTTATAACTTAAAGAAACGGAAGTAGAACCCAAATTGTAGGAATAAAGCATACTGTAGGTTGGCAGATATATACAGATAATGGATACAAAAATAATATAAAGCAAAAAAAAATGTATAGAGAGAAAGAGCTAGAAAGACTACTAGAATGACCTATAGAGAAGTTAGGAGGGAATATTGAACTTACAAAATGAGATTTGAGTTCCAAGAATGGTCGCTTCCGACTCCATAGAAGGAAGGTGTTGCTAAAGAAGTAGAACCAACCAGCTGTTCTTGGAGCTGATGCTGGTGATGGAGATTTGCAGACTCCATGATAATTTTTTAAGGGCTTGAAAATCCCAAGATGAGTAATTAAAATTTAACTAGCTAGCTCCAGGAATCTCTCACTCTATTCAAAAACCAGTTCAGTTGACACCCACAAACCTTCTTGCTTTTAGCTACTTTTCTACTCGTTTCCTCTTTACTCATTCATCTCTCAGTCTAAAGTAGTCCTGAAAAGAAAGGAAAAAAAAAATGACTGAATAAATCATCCCAGGAAACCCTCCTCCCCTCACCTCCCACCCACCACCCCCTTCTTCCCTCCCGATTTTCTTCTTTTTCTTTTTAGCCAAACTTTCTGCACCTCTGAAAATTAACGATAGAAAATCATCTTCATCTCTCTCTCTCCCCTCTGATCTTTTTCTTTTTGTTTGTTTTTTCAACCGAGGCTTTTTGCGCGCTCTGCAATTACAGGGAGATGATTATACTTCCTTCACGCCATTATTAAATCCCTGCCTTCGATCCCAAGGCTTTCTACAAAGGTCTGAAGAGAGAATGATAGCAGTCATGCTCTCTCTCTCTCTCTCTCTCCTCGTTCCGCCTCCTCCATGCCCACAAACTCAAAGTACTTATATTGAAAATCTAGGGGGTGACGAGGAGGTTTTGGTCGGGTCGGTTAAAAAGTGTCCAACTCTTGCCATCCGAAACTCAATGCCGCCGGTTTGTTGGGATTAGCCAACCCTAACATAATTAACCCAACTGGTCTTCATATACTTTCGGAAATAATAATAATAATAATAATAAAGAACACCCGACCAGGCGACCGTTTCTCTTCAAAACCCCTGGTAAGTGGTTAGTGGTTACCCGGGAAAGGGGTAGATTATTATTGGGTCCAAAATAGGTTTCCAACGGGTCGGATGCAGATAGATCTGGAACCGATCTGACAATAATTTATTAAAGATTCGGAATCGAATTGGATCCGATAGGTAAAATTTTATATCCAGAATCGAATCAATCAGTTTTCGTGACAATTAGATCTGATCTGATAATAATAAATCTATTGAAAATATTATACATATAATATAAATTATATAATATATATATATATATATATATATATATATATATATATATATATATATAACCGGGACAATATATAGAAACCTAAATCGATTCATCACTTTCAATTCCTATAAACCAAAACCAACCTAATTGGTTCGAATCCAACCTAATTCATAATTCATTGACAGCCCAAATCCAGATTGAACGTTGCAGGTATTGATCAATTATCTATACCATTTCACCCAAGTCCCAACATTCAGGGGGTCCATCTTCTCACCCAAGTCCCAACAATCAGGGGGTCCATCTCCTTGCAGTCAAGCTAATGAATCCACCACAGATGAAAAGTTGCATGGGCTCTACAATCTACACATGTTCAGAAACTCGTTTAATCTCTTTCTGTTTCGTATCCAATAATGTCTCTGTACCCAGAATATATGGATATTCAAAGGGTAATTGTAGTTAGGGTGGGTCCTCCCAGCATTCAAACACCTGGCGCCTCACAGGCACATTTTATCATACATTGAAAACATCTCCTATATTGTTTAGTTATTATTTACGAAAGATGTTCTCAACGCACGGTGAATGTGTCTATGAGACACCCATTTGTGAGGAATAAATCCCGTCACCCAGCTATCCATGTTTGAACGGCTGAGATTGATGGATATTTCCACGGTCGTAGATGGGCATGAAATGAAGCATATTTTATGATCGATGATTTACTATATCATCATATTTCATTGGAATTACTTAAATAGAAGAGACTACTCATTGTTCTTATAATCAAGTAAGTTGCAAGTTAAAACGAAAATAAAATATTTCCATGTTTACGTAGAAATCAAGGAAATGGTCACTCCCACATCATGATAGTAATGCAAACAATATTATCATCCTTTTTCTTTTGTTTCATGCCCTTATAATGAAAAAGTGATAATATTTTTTATGAATGAGTGGTATGGTAAGAGATTTTGTTACTTTACTATGTTCATTCGCCAACCCCTCATTATGATGGTTGGAGAAGGAACAGTTCTTAGCAATTTTCTCAATCACATCCCTTAGTGGCAAGCAAAGCAACCCTATTAACTGTAGCCACCTCTACATACAAATATATACATAACTACGACTCTCTCCCCAACTTTTTATTTCTTATTCAATCTCTATCTCTCTCGGCATCCATGTGTCTATGCATGATTTGTTATGGTGCAAAGTGGCGCAGCCCTTATCCACCCAAAGGCCCGTTTGGTTTAGTCTTGCCAAATACATTGGCTGTGGCTGAGTATTGGCCTGACGTATTGATGAAGTCGAATGGCTAGAAACGTCACTTTTTCATTATTTTTTATATATTTGTATTTATACTTTTCCAAACTGAGCTTATGGAACTTTTCCAAACCTTATATTATTTTTATATATACTTTTATATATTTTGTATTATTATCGAATGGTCAATAATCACCCATCAGGCGACTTCAACTTAAAATTTGCAAATATGCCACGTAAAAGTGCCAAGCTTCTATATATGCTTGACAAGTTTAAATATTATATATATCATGTATAATTAAGTATTACAGTTTTTAATAACTTTAGTTTTATTTTGTTTTCAATTCATTTTAGTTATGGGCCTCACAACATGGATTTTAAATATGGGTTTCTATGGTTCCTTTAGGCTTGGAAAGAGTGTAAATATATATACAAAATATAAGATTTTGTATTTATACTCTTTTTAAACTGAGCCTTATCAAAATATATCACGTAATTAAGATAAGAGGATCAGAGTTAATCATTCTTTTTTTAGTATGGGTACAATGCACCATTAATAACTTCTCTCTCACTCCTTATTCTCTAAAGTGATCAGGATATCTCGCATCAATCAAACCAATTAATACAAATATGTACAATATAAATATATAAAAAATAATATAAAATACAAAATTTTACACTCTACATATTTATATTTATTACGCGTTGGGACTAATGAGGGAAAAAACAGCTTAGGACAACATTGCAGGTGTGCGCCCCAAGGATTTGGAGGATGAGAAGTCCAAACGGTATGTTATCTCGTTGATTCTTTTTGTAGGCTTTCGCTCAGGTTGGATCTGTCAAACGGTGCGTGGCTCAAACCTTTTCTTCAACTTAAGATTTAGCTCTTCTGCTGCTGGAATCACTTGGGAGAATTCCTAATGCGTGGTGGACTAGAGTTGACGTGAATTGTGGAAGTGAATATACTCTCATATTGGAGCCTCCGGATGTCGACTCCATATATATCCCTTAAGTTTTATTTGTTTTTATATGGTTATTTAGTCTTTTTCATCCCAATATAAACAATGATAAACGCACTTCCATTAATAATTAAAAAAAAAAAAAACACCACTCCTTTCTTATCAGTAACCACTCAGGTTGCGTTTGGAATTTGGATTAGGGTGGATTTAGATTTGATGGCAGAAATGCAATTGTCAATTCTGCAAATCACCAGATTTAGTAGTTTGGGTGCATGCATTGGTGTCATGGAATTCCATAAAACAGGCAACTTTTACCTTGCTATAGCATAGTTCTCGAATTTAGGAGAAGCCGAAGTGACATGGGAGCAGAATTCATTTTCATTTTAGCATAATCCAAGGCAAGAGCAGAATTCAAATCTACCTCTGCTCCCACAATCCAAACACAGTCTCATCAATGTACTAATTTAAGGAAGTTTTCAGGGTCTGGTGTTGAACAAAGCCCGGCCTAATTGCAGTCTGGTACCCCACACCTTGTCACGTGTTGCATATTTAAATGATCGAAACTACCTCAGAGACGGTGCCCGTGCCACTTCACCACAGAGTGCGTATACTGAAAACCATCATAACCATATGACTTTTAACAATCTGCACTGTTCATATTTCCATTGTTTTCTGAGTTTTCAACAGTTGCAGCACAACTTTTCTCCTCAGTCCTCACCCAAATTAGATAAGACACTAAAATATACAGAGTTGCAGCATTTTTTCGAGCTGATTTTTGGGCTAAATATCTTCATTCTGGGATCATCAATTCAAATGTAATTCCCGATGATCTTATAAGTATAATTCATTAATGGCTTAGTCTTCAGCTTCAAACCATTAATTTCAGTAGTTCTCTGCAATCCTTCCATAGTCGACGAGCCAGCCAATTGACCTGGGGCTGAGCAAGACATAGCGATTCTGCTGATTGTCCTCTCTCCACTCCCCCAGAAAAACCGAACGCTAGCTAGGCTAGATGTAGGATGGAGCTCCTTCTGGCATCAAACCGTACGTGGGGGAGTACGTGTTCCTGAGTTCTCTACAGTTGGATGGCACTGGGACTTAGACCCCACGACTCCCAAGGATCATTCATTCATTTGTTCAGAGATTGGAGTGGGATCCCTCCGGATTCCGGGTAGCATAATAAAACCACCTCGAAATTCAGTCCCTGAATATGGGAATAATGATGTCAAACAATGAAATGATGGTTCCACTGATCAAAACATTCTCATCACTCACATAATTAGCAACTTAGGATCTCTGACGATCAATGAATATAGAGAAAATGATCGAGGTTGGGCACTTGGGCTTTGAAGAGGCGAGTAGGCAGGCTATGGCGGTTGTGAAGGTTGCCAAACAAATAACAAGGAAGAAAGGAATAATTAAGGGTTAAGCTGGCTTTCCTGAAAAGAAGGTCTATAATAATCTGATCAACCCCACAAAAGTTCACGTCAGAGCAAAAGTTGATGGGAGAATGTGAGAGATAAGAGAGTATGGGCAAGTCTGTCTTTGCCTTGGTCCTTCCCCCCTTTAGGCCTTTACTCTCATCGAGCGTGCCGACCTATCTACATCTGGTTTTATTTTATTCTATTTCACCCATTATTTTTGACAAAGTGTTTGATTTTTTTATTCAAAAGCCTCTCTTTCATCGCCTTCGACCTTTTTCATCCTATTCATTTCTGCTCTCCTTATCTCTCAACATTTATCTATGAAGTGCGGTTTTCTACATTACGATTAATTTTTAACAGAACTATCCCATCTTTCAATCCTTCTGTTTCATTGTTTGTGTTGGTGTTTTGTGCATTTTTATTATCGTTTTTGGGCGGCAACATTTGTTAAATGGAAAAACTGTGCCAACATCTATCTTCTTTTCAAGTTCCAACATTAATTTTAACAGTTTAATACTTTTCTTTAATAATTAATAACAGCAATAGCTTTCACTACCCTTCTAAACTGTCGGTAGAATGAATATGGAAATGTTGTTTTATCGAATTTTCATTTCTGTTTTATTTCTAACTTTTTTAATACATCATGATCCCCATCAGCATGATCATTACTGTTATTGGTAGTAGTGGTGGTGATGGTGTTATTATTATTACTAGCACCACCAAAAGTCCTATTCCCAGCTACTACATCATACGTGGCACGTGTCATTTGCCAAAGAGATTGATCCTTTTTTTTTATTTCTTTAGAAACAGTAAATAACAGACTAGGTTTTAGTGGTGAGAAAAAAACCGAAAAATTGAATCAATCAAAAGCAAATAAAAATATCGGTTAATCGAATCAATTGATTCGGTGTTTTTAAAAAATTGAAAAT